TTTTGAGACTCGAAGTCAATCTATTGAGAGTAAATCTTTCATGGGAACCAATATCAACGTCTGTACAGAATGCTGAATGTAGTCCATTTTTATATTTTGAATAAAACTTAATCAGTACAAATTACAAGAAACTCTTATTATATACTAGTTTTTAGAACGAAGCTTGCTCTACAAAATGTCTAATTTATTTCGTTTTCAAATTATCGTTGAAAACCATCAGAATCTACTGCATTTTAAATATCTTAATTTGCAGAAACGATTATTCTGAAAAATGTCATCTTATGCAAAGTGTAGCATTTCCAAAATTATTTGTAGCTTTTGAATCGTGTAAGTTATAGTTTATGGGAACTCATGTTTCTGTAGGACATAAAATTCTCTACAGCAGTAAGAAGTGAAAGTTATCCAGAAATAATCCTCAGAGAAGTTAGGAATGACAGGAAAAGGCATATTTTGTTTAGTGAAAATGACATTTTTGACTTATTCCAATATTTGCTTACAGTTCATCAGTCATAAATCAGTTCAAAATTTTTAACATATATTTAGAAAGAGCATAATTCTCATTCTAGTTAGCTACTTTTCATTGTCTTCTATAACCTATAAATAGACGAAAATCGAGCAGAGATGTTGTGCCAAGACTTTTTACATGCAGGTTATGATGTGCAGTTTTGAAGAAATTTTGATTAGAATGTCTTGAGCAAGCGTTGCAATAAGTTTTAATAATTTTTTTTTATCCAATTCCTCTTTTTTTTTCTATGATAAAGAGAATATTGTTAACCTTTTCGTTACGGGCTCGTATATATACGGGCTGAGCTTTTCCTTGAATTACTTCTGTGACATTTATGATTTTCTTGCTTTACTACAGTTCTGCAAGAGCATGATTATTCATTCTCTGTCTTATTCGATGTTTTTTTTTGTATACTTGTCCTAGCCAACCTTACAGGAATCGTACTTAGCGGCGTAACCAAAATTTGTCAAATTAAGGCATCCTACGTTGCGCTACTGAGGAAAAATATCTTCATACATAAAGAACCAGGGATTTACTCCGGAGATAAAGCGCGTTACTTCTGAGATGTCGTCTCAAATGCTATCGCGGTAGTTACGCCCATATTCGTACACTAATACTATTCTACACTATTTCTGGTTGTACTCTAAGCAACCACAGGCTAGGATAGAGTAGGATTATCCTGCAAGACTCTAGCATTTACTCAGGTTATAATAGTGATCTCTTATTACTAGAATCAGCGCATCATTGCATAGTACTGCCGTGCACGTACACATCCTTTGTTCCAAGCTTTGTGACAAAAACCAAAACTTTTTTGTTGGTAGAAAAAATCCCGTAACCAAAGGGTTAAAATAGAACTTAATTATAATTAAATAGGCCTTATCCATGCTCGTTACATATCGACTAATAATGGGATATGACAAATGCTCGAAAAATTTCAAAATGGTTATTTTGACATTGTTCTCATACTTATTGTGACAACTAACAAATATTACCGGTAGGAAACAAAACAAGAACTTTTTTTCTTTTTTTTCATGCATATTTTGATAATATATTGGTTTATACAAAGTTTCTGGTGAAGCCTTGGTTAAAGTTTACTGTTCAAAATGCATGGATGTTTTACTACCAAAAGTTTTCGACAACATCATACAGATGATGCATATTGTAGTACAGATTTTTCTCATATGTTATTTATGATATTCATCAAAAGTATCGGCTAAAACGATCAACAAATAAATTTGTTGCTCAGCTTTATGGCTCTAAAATTCATTCAATGGCTGAAGCTAAAAGTAAGATAGAAAAAAAAATAAGAAAGTAAAAGTTGAATAATAACCAAAAAAAACACGAAACAAGTTGAAGACTAATTATAATAATAAATATTTCGAGTTTTTTCCTAAACAAAGAAACAATGGACGACTTACTTTTAAAAGATTCTATCGTTAATACGTACAGCTTTTGAACGTGTTCGTTATAATGATTGATGAAGAACTTCAATGTTTTCTCGAGCTACACGTGCTTCAGGTTCTTTTTGTATAGCTTCGTTAGAAAGAAGTTGAATTTCTAAAAGAATCAACATCGACATCTGATATACTTAAAATCTGTAATTTTACTTTCTTGTATATTTTGTTCTTTCAAATTGTCGAGTTTTTGTTTAAGTTGTTCATTAAATTCTTCATTCATAATATATATGTATCCAATTGGGCGTACCAATTGATGAACTGAATCGTTTGTCATCATTAGGATCTTTGAAGAAAAACTTTTCGTTTATATTCTTGATAAAAAAAAATCGTATTGACTTACTCAATGTTTTGTTCTTCTTCAGCATAGCTGTTGGAAAAAGGATAAGGCTTGATGATTAGTGAACCGTTTCGACAATTGAGTTCTATGAAAAAAAAAGCCAAGATAGTGTTTTTTTGCGAATTACGAGAAGATTAAAGTTTACATACCGCAGAAAAATTTATTTATGTTGTTCTTGTAAATTAAGCAACTTTTGTTGTACTTGTGAATCTTCAAGTACGATAAAAGTAACACCCAAAAGAATGACCTTCCATATCTAATAGTGTCAGAAAGTGTTGAAATTTTGTTGTATGTAAATCTTCAAATGTTTCTTTCAGTTGCTGTTCTTAAATGTATCTTGATAAATAGGTTATCGTTGTTGTATTCTAAATAATCATTATTTAAATAAAATCAAGTTTCTTTTTTCATAGAGGAGTTGTATTAAATTATTGATCTAGGATTTCAAAATATCTGAATAATCGATTTTTGTTCAAAAGTAATTGAATAATAAGAAATCTCGGAAGCACTCTGTGAAAATCTTAGAAACCAGTTTTTGACCTGAAAGTCTACTAAAGTACGAATTTGGTTCATCAAAAGAAGATTAATTTGATGTTGAATGTCTTCTTTCAGAATCTATAAAATATATTATATATTTATTTTCTTCTATTAAAGTTTTTTCTGTCTTTCCATTAAACAGCTCAATTTTCTTTCTTGTTAAATACTCACTTTTTAAAAATCGACTTTCCCCTAAAAACCATTATACTTCGAAGGGAGCTCTTAAGAAATGTGTATAGTCACACTTGAATAGAGCTACAGCTTAGTTCAATACCAGATTTTGTCGGAAAGCATCTGCTCTACAAAACGACGGACTTCAAACATTAGATCCCGTCGGGTAGAACCTGGACTCAGAACCAAGTGGGTCCGACTTTAGGTTTAAAAATTTTCTTTGCACAGAGTCCGAGCCCGAAAATCTTGAATTCAACTTATAGTGTAAGCAAAAATCTATTGGTTCACGATTGAAAATAATCTTTGATGCTTTACACAAATTCCTTCGCTACGCTGGAACAGAAATACGCAGAGCATTCCTAAGGTCATATTCAAAAAGAGTACGGAGCCTTGGGAAAACATTACATTCAATTAGTCGGAAATGCTCTGTCGAGGGCTAGAAATAATTATTTAAATGCTTGTCTAAAAACTTTAAAACACATGCTAGTTTTTGCAATGCTAAACTATAATCTCTAGGATCTGATTAAAAATTATGTTTACTGTATTTTCTTTTCTTCCAAAATATGTATTAACCGTACAAAACAATATGCGTGTTAAAACATTTCATTGGAAATATTGATTGTAGAATATTTATGAATGCTTCTATTTTCCATGTAGAATAAAACTATTTGATATAGTTTGAATTGATGGCAGTGTGACAGTATCTCCTTTGGCTACCCTTCTCTCATAGTTTCTCTTCCTGTTATCCCTGTTTCCTTCCTTTTTGTGCATAATAATCATCTGTTGTATGATGATGATTCTGATCTGTATAGATTATTTCTTATTCAAATGATTATATCATGTGACAAAACAAATAAATTCTATACTTTAGATACTTGCTGGAAACTATTAATTGGTATTTATGTAAGTGAAAATTATCCACCATACGGAAAGTTATAAAAATTAGAAAAAAAATCATCTATCGAGTTCTTGGTATATTTTTCACTTCTATGAGAATTCTAAAAAGTAATGTTGCCACTACGTTCAATTTTTAATTAAAGTCTCATAATTCGAGTTTGAGAACAAGCCATATTAGTGTGTGATGATTTTAATTAAATGATTTTTCTATGTAGTTACTTTCATTCTATCATGGTAAAAGTTTTATTTTATTACAGGCTTTAAAAAAATAGATATTAGTAAAACCTATCGATAGAACATCATATACATTTTCTTTACCTCAGATATGAAAAAATGACATCTGCATGCTCGCACTCTCAATAGGCAGCGTTCGGCCTGTTCTTTCTGTGGCTAGAATTATTTCTCGAAGAAACGAAAAACAACAACGTCACCGAACAGAAAGAAGTCATGCTGTAGACAACGATTGTTATTGCATTGATTGAGCACCACCTTTAACTATAAAAAAACACTTGGAAGGTGTTGTTTTGTATTGCATTTGTTGCATGGCAACATGCTCAGTTATTTGGCTCGATGCTCTAGTGAACACGAGCGAGAATTATCGACGTGCTCAACAACAGCTTCGTACTGTCACCAATCATGTAATGACATTTGAAGATCGGGAACAGTATGAGAATTATAGTCGATCAGTGTCGTCCGATGAACGACTCATGCTTATTGTTAGTGACAACTTGGGACAAGAATTACTGCTTCATATTTATCAACTGCCACAAGTAACATCAATCTATATCTATTCTGTTGATAAGAATCAAAATGAGCAATGGGAAAAACTATCTAGTAGGGTGAAACAATGTTTTTTTGCTTTGTTTACTTGTTGTTGTTTTCATTTTTGGAAAAAATTTTTCGGTAATATGTTTGTAGATTCAGCCTGTTTGTCACTTGTTTTGATGGGCTTATTAATCATATTGAATCTGCTATAAAGAGACAAGTATTGATAGTGGAACGGAAACTTACCAAAAGTAACTTATCGTTTCCATTGATTTTGATTGTCAATGATGATCCGTTCGATAGGCCAATTGCTTTCATCGAATGTTTCATTCGAATGGAATCTAGACCAACCGAAATTGACGAATATATTGCATTTGGAAAAGCTGAGTATAAAAATAAATCGGCTCAACTAGCCAAGATTGATGATTTTCAGAAAACTTACTCATGGGAACGAGCTCTTTGGTGGTATACACGACAATCATTCATCTATAGAATGTTGATGACAGCTTTACGTCAGCAAAGTATTCATTTACTGTTTCTTCTTCGTTTTTGGATTCGTAACATCGATCGTCAATTGAAACAAAGTCAATGTCATGTTCCCATGCGTGTATTTTGGGGTGGATGGAAGTCAAATAATGACTTTGATCTTCTTCAAACATCAGTCGGTAAATTGATTTCTATCAATACATTTCTGTCTACAAGTGCAAGTCGTGATGTTACTTTATCATTTTTGAAGCATTCACCCGAACATTCGAAAAAAATTCTATTTGAAATCACAGTTCATCCGCAAACAATACCAAGTAGACCGTTTGCTGACATCAGCCCACACTCGTTCTATCCATCTGAAAGAGAAGTCCTATTCATGATCGGTTCCATATTTCATATTGGCGATATTTATTGTGCTGAAAATGGACTATGGATAATTCGCATGACATTAGCGGCTGCCAATGAGCACAATTGGAAAATGTACTTGGAACATATGAAGAAACTTGAAAACGACTATGTGAAACTGAACATCGTCATATTTAGAAAAATTTTATGTCATATGGATCGCTTCGACCCAGCTGAAAATTACTATCATCGTCTATTGAGTGAATTTGGGTTGAACAATCACTTGTCATCGATAGTTCATTCGGAACTTAGTGCAATTGCTTCTAACAAAAGGTACATGTTATGAAAGCAAACAATAATATACGAGATCATACGTGATTTAAGTTGAGATCCTATTTGAATGGCGTCACTTATGTTAGAGAGTTTCTACAAAAGAATCGAAGAATGCAAGAACACGGTATATTTCCTACTTTGTAACAAGGGCATATACGTTCTTGAGAATTCAAAAGCCCGTTAGGTCGACTGGAACAAGCCTCACGCATCTTGCGTCTGGGTACTACATCTCTATCTCATGCCATACTCGAAAGCTCAAAGTAGTAGGGTCTGAAAAACATGTTGTTGATAGAGCAGAAATTATTCACTGACGGCACCACATTTGATGTTCGAAAGGGACGAAATTGGGTCATCATTGTACTTCAATTTTTTGTTAGGTATTTTATTCCTTTGGAGAACAGACTATGCAGCAACTAATGGAGCTCATTTCACTTCACAAAACGTTGTTCTTAGATCCCCTCAAAAATCGATCTCAGGCCAGGATCGTTCAAATGACATCAAATCTTCAGAATATGTTGGGGTATTGTGAAAAAGCTATGGTAAAATTTTCAGTCCGAAATCATGATGTTTGAGGGGGATACCAGCCAAACAAGGATGTGGGTGGGTGGTGTGGGTGTGGAATGGAATGAATTGAACTGTCACACCCACACTCACACCCTCACTGGGACCATTCCCATACAAATATCTAAGAGATCACATGCCTATGCTGATATTATAGAGTACTCGTCATAAGTTACAAGATATGTAACATTATGTACTTTAAGCAAATAACAAAGCTTTTAAGCTCATTCGGTCATCCGCAAGATTTTCGGTAAAGGTAAATGATTTGATATCAATAAAAGTGATGATAAGTTGGAAAGCCTCCGTCAACTATATCTTAACAGACTCAGCTTCTGAATTTACAAGTTAGAAAAGAATCAAAGTACGACAGAAGTTACATAGCATAGTCAAAGTTAAGAGATAGGGAATGTGGCTATGTATTAAGTGACCATTCCACTATCACACTCCTTCTGCAGTGTTATATAATTATGGAAGCACTACTTTTGGTATGTCCTTAGTGTTTGTCACTGTTTTCTTTTGCTATTACGTATTGCCATTGAATCATTGAAAACTTCACTGACGAAATACTATCCCTATGATTCAACAATGCTGAAAATGTTTGTTTGCATCATTTAGTTTCGAGCGTTATTCTTTTATAGAAAGCAATCAAGCATAGATTTTGTTCCAACAAATGGCTGCTTTCTTTGAAAGCATTCATGATTCAATAGTTCTGTAAAAACAATAATCAATAAGCTATTGAATATGCTCAAGATACCAAGAACCAGTCTGTCGATATTCTTGACTAACACACATAATTGAATTCAGACAAAGAAAACGGGATTGAATACATGATTAGTTTTGACATCGGTCTATTGATGTGTTTTTTTCAATATACACGACGTTGTACACATAATGAAATACAAAACGAACATGATTAATCCGCCAATAGCGACATTCAGTGAAACAACACTAAAGAAACATGAATTTTCTGGTAGTCCAACAATGGATTCGTACATTGAAATTTGAGTCTCATGAAATGCTTATTGACGCTTTTCGATCAATTCATCCCTATTCTGCTCGATGAACGCTTTTGACTTTTTAAAGTAATAAATATATTTTCAATCTCGCGCTCATACCTTAGTATCAATATATCGACTTGAATGATAAGAACAATTCATTTCGGTTTCGAAGTTAGTGTTCGATAAAGAATATCAGAACTTGTATTTGAAAAGACTACTATTGCATCGGTTTTGTTCAAACCAGTTCATGATAATGTCATTGGTAGACATTTCAAAGTTTTTTATACGCTTCAAGTACTGAGAAGTCACTTAGATGACCGTATAGAAGAGAAATAACTAAGCTGATGTATGATCGATGTTCATCAAATGTTCATCATGATTTCACAAGCAATGTCTCGGTCATTGATCTAGTATTTTGCGCTCATTAGCTTGAAAGCATGGGCAATGATGAGTCCATCTAAATCGGATTATGTGTTGTCTTGGTGCTTTTCACGTTTCTTATTCATTGCTGTAATATGAATATCTAAAAAACCCGTATCTTGTGTGTGTTGAGTACTACAGAAAAGAAACATTGTCCTCCAACATAGTAAAATATTTAATTGCGTACAACGAGCAACAGAACCAGTTCTCCAGACAATCGAAGCCTTCGTAATTGTTTCATTACTTTCTTTTACACAATAACTAATGAAGGCAGGCCACCTTTACACAGAAATAGGTGACACTGAAGCAGTGCTTATCCGATGTATCATTCACTACTAAATAATCAAGTTCATTGATGTCTCATGGGTGACAGACATTTCGCACTAAGTCATTCCGGACTCCAATCATATGTCCGGGTATTCGGAAATGATTTTTGCCCTTAAAAATCTTTAACGGAAGTTCGTAATCCTTTTTGGGCGAGACATCGTATTGAAAAAAACAGGGAGATTGAAAGAGTGTGACTAGGAATTTGGAATGGCATGCTCATTTCTATATGTGATATAGTGTTCGAAGATCGAGATGAACAAGACCGAGTGTTCGAAATAAAACTCTAAGGGTATTTTTTTTCATAGGAAAAGGTCTGAAGAACGTAGTAAAACTAATCGAAAGTTCATAATATGATTTGCCAAAAAGTTGTAACGGATTAATTCTGATATCGGTAACGGTTGTAAAGACTTTCCTTTCATTCTTTTTTATAATGAAGAATAGGATTTATTCATCTAGAATAATAAATCAACACATTTTTTTCTTTTCAAAGTCATGGTGTTCGTAATAAAAAGCATGCGCATCTAAGGAATAATAATGATAAATACCAGCACTGGATTTATAGTAGTAACAACAATAGAAATGTCGACTATTTGAATTCATTAGGACATTCTGTATGTGCCATCTTAAAATAAAAACTAGTGAGTCACTTAACATCTCCTAAAGAAGAGCAAACATGAACATAGTTTCGAACAATCTGTCTTTTTTCATTAAGATTTCTCTGCAGTTTTCATTATGATCTCCAAACTTTCATTATGATCTCACTGTCTTTATTATTACGATCTCTCCAGATCATTTTCAATTCGAACTCCAGTCAAATTTCAATTGTTGATTTGTCAAACTCGACCATCGCTGTTCGTTACGATCTTCTGGACAACTTTCATTACGAACGGCCTGTTTTTTTTAAATTTTTGATTGTTTTTTGTCATTCCAAACACCCTGTCTTTTCTTATGTCAGGTGATCGTAACGAACATATGTCGCTGGAGATCGTAATGAAAAGTTAGTGCGAAATGTTCCTTTCTCTGTCGCATGTTGTGAAACCTTTCAGATGAGCGGAATCTGGTAGAATATGCGTGTAGCTGAGATGTGCAGAGTGTTGTCGTAACCAATATTCATATGCATAGCCACAGAGTTATTTCACTCTATATGCTAACAGTATTATTTGTTCCTTGGGCAAAGATAGAACTTATAACATACTTTCGTGAACACATTGAAAGAGCGACAGTATGATCATCAATACGAGCTGATGCAACATCATGCCAATCGAGTATTAGCTGAGCGCTGTTTTGTGAAAATGGAAAGAACTAACTATCGACATTCACCGAAGTCTACCCTTCTCCATTTTCTTGCACTTGATTTCTGCAGAATTGAAAACAGCTACAAATGTGCAGCCAATGCAAATGCACAACCTGACTTCGAAAAACAGCCAAAAGAAAATAGTTTTGTTAATGTATACACTTTGTTGCCCTTTCAGATAAGACTCTCCCATCGCTTCTCCATTTTCTAGATTTCATCGTTGAGAGAAAATTCTATAACATACTCACGCTGCTAAATCGCTCGACAGGTAAATAAAGCTCTTTAAAGGTTCTTCAAATAATTGTGACATTGATGTATCATTGTCAATATTTTCTTTCGGTACTGTTTGTATACAGCTGCTTTGTGAAAGCATTTCGAAATATTATTCAACGAACCATATTTTGATTTTTAATGCTTCATTTCTGTTGTTTAGATAGAGGCAACACTCATCGCTACAAGAGACTGACGTCACAGATATTGTAACTTATAAGCATGTTTGCAGCGCCTCCGAAGGGTTATAAATAAACAACCGAAGTTAGTTGTATTTCGATTCTTGAAATCTTACTGACGAAGATATTATAGCCAGCTTCATCATCTATAAAAGCTGTCAGTGTTTCTAAAAAGTGACTTTTTCTTTAATTTGAAACGATGCAACAAATTCTGAATACGGTAGCAATAACACTGTAAGTAACTCTAGTTCAATAGACTACTAATATGATAAAAATTTGTTTCTAGACTTATTGCCTGTGTCGTCAGAGGTAAGAGAAACAGATTCCAGAGGTAGTCAAAAGATAAACAAGGATCATTACACATTGGCATCTTCGGCAAAAAGTTGATCTCTTTTTTTATTATGGGGAACGAAAGTACGTCAGTAGATATCTATAAATTTCGATTTTCAGCCCATTTTGTTGTGGCTAGCAGAAATTCTAGAAAAGAACTGAGCAAAACTTTTTCAACAAACAACCTTCATTTCCATTTTTCATGCCATAGTTTTCAAAAAAAATATGATGATGTTTCTTGGACAGATCTCGATACATAAGGTTGAAAAATATTTCAAATGAAAGAACATGATTCACTTTAACCAAGTGCATATTCGAATTTTTCTCAGATCTATATCTGAGATGCAAGAAATTCGAAATTCTTAAGTACAAGAATGATTTATATAATGTTTGCAAGTGATCTTTTTGTCTGCATGCGTTTTTTATTTTGGAGCTTCAAATGACCAAAAAATGTCGCAACATTTGTTAAAAGAATAAGTGAAGGCTATCCAACGAGCGCAAACCAATTGGTTTTTCGTCATGAACACACACTTTTCTCACTTACAAAATGAGAAAGTACTCAGTAACATTCACTTTTACGTTCATTTTCTAATGAACTTGTCATGTAATTTTTGCTTTTCTTCATCCATTCATGATCAAATGCAATGATTGAAGACGAGAGTGTGTGAAGAAAAGACTCTCACCAATGTACTTACTTGATCATTCATTTTGACCCACAAATCTTTACCCTTACCACATGTTGCTTATTGCTTTCCTAAGGATTTCTACTAAGAATAATAGAATGGACTGAAAACTAGAATTAATTGGTGTATAAATACATGCTTTCGTTTCCGATAGTAAAATTACGAGTCCATTATTTGCAGACCATGTTGCTCTGTGAAAATACCTGATTCTTCCTTGGGTTCTTCTTTAATTCAATCATGGGAATGTGAACCTAAAATCCACGTATATCTTTCGTATTGCATAATTCATGCCCTTCCTTTTCTAAACGATTGCATAAGATGAAACAACTTACTTTTAATAATGATTTTTCGATAATTTTATCCGACTTTCACTTGTTATAAAAGCAGTTTTAGGCCAAGACACAACAAATTCTGGACGGCCTACTTGTGGATGTTGTCCAACACAAGAGTGTCAAGCAAAACCAGTGTCATGTTCGATAAACGCTGACTGTGCATGCTTGCTTATGACAATGACTGCTGGTGGAATGTGTGCCGATACTGTCATATCTTGTCGTGATTTGACTTTATGTGAAAATGATAACAAGACATGCTCGGCACCTAATACAGTATGCGTCAATAACACTCGATGTAACGTTCCTGTTTGCTATCCAATTGAACGTGCATCTATTCAACGATGTCCTCCACTGACCTCAAAAGATCCATACACAATCACAAGTGAGTTTCTGAAATAGACTTTGCATTAACGAAAATGTAGAAATCACCCTGTTGCTACGCAATGTATCACGTGTTTTTGGTACAGTAAAATTTCATATCATATCTATGGGGGGGGGGGGGGGGGAAGTAAAATATGGTCTGAGAGTTTAATTGAACCAAATAATCTCGATGAAATTTATCGAAAGAAAATTCAAAAAAAGAATTTGTTGATCAGCATCATCGAGCGACTCGATAGTTTTCTGTATGTTTTGGTCAGAAGACGAGTGAATACGTTTTCCTGAAGGCATCTATGTAAGCCATTAACATGAGTGGCTGAGTTTGAGCGAAGAGAGGAGTCACACCCACCCATCTCGTACTCAGAAAGTGATCATCTTGAAAATTAAGCGTACTCCGTTCGATCTTCTTACTAGCAATATTTCAATCGGACAATGACAGCGCTACATATTGCTTTGTGAAATTCAAGTCTACCCAATAGGCAAACGTGAGCAACACTTATTCATTAGACTAATTGTCCCTACTCATTGTTTCCCGTACACAGTATTCTTTTACAGACTCTTCTCGTCGTGATCGTTCCTTATGATAAATTTTCCTACGCTGCAGATTCTCTGATGAGCACACACCGTTTGACTTTCCAGTCGTCGCTCTGGATCGATCCGTATAAATGATAACTCTACCATGTTATTCTGCTTTTTTTATGTAGCTTCAACAGCCTTAGCGTCGACAACAGTTGCAACTTCGACAAGATCAATGACAACAACTTTCGCAACTTCGACAAGATCAATGACAACAACTTTCGCAACTTCGACAAGATCAATGACAACAACTTCCACAACCTCTCCATGTCGCAGTAAGTGACAAGAACTATGAGTGCAATGACATGTCAGAATACTTTGAAACTACTCGGAAGAGGACCCACTATGACATTGACTGAGTTAGGAGTTGCTAAAATTTCAATTTAGGATTTAATTATTCCGAACGAGAGATTATCATTAGAAATCTCTAAATCGAAAACATCCGCTCTTTCTGACTACTTAATGAGTAGAGATATGAGTGTGGAAACGAAGAAAACATTGTCTGTTCACATGCACATCCCTTCTCAAATATAAACTTTAAAGTATACTCAGGATACATGTCTCCGCTGAACAGAATATATTTTTACTTGGATAACTCTACATTAGGTCAAAACTCATTTTTACATTCAGCTTCGCAAGTTGACTATGACTCTCCAGCAACGTTTTCTGTTTCGTGAACATAAAATATGTAGCATACAGATTATGAGTCACGATAAATCGAGACTACGAACTCGAAATATTAAGCGAACGCAAATGAAAGAGCAAGATATCAGTGGCAATCTAAAAAACCGTTTTGTGATTAAACTTTAAGAGTAGTGCCAAATGTATGAACTAGTATTTTTCATAGACTGGTCAGAAAGAACTTATATTTCTGGCTTAGGGATTTCTAGTAGTGATCTGTTGTTTGAGATAATGAAAGTCAAAAGTTAAATTTTAGCAGTGACTAACTGTACCGATAAATCCTATTTTTGCCACCTGAATCAAGACGAATTGTTCAGTTTCCACTGAACTTTCGATAGTAAGAACATTGTCGAAATGCTGGCTGGAAAGCGGACAAATCGTCGAAATTATGGAGTTTTACTGATATTCTGGCTTCATTCCAATGCGGCTCATCAGTATAAACCGGAATTGCGACAAATCTTTATGGTAGAGATTCCGACGGGTATTGAATACAAGTGTCCACATTCCCCTAGAAATTCGACACATTATCGAAATTCAAATGATGGAATGCCGAATATCGAAACTCCATACAACGGTTTAGTCAATGTTATAGTCGACCATCTTTTAATGACGTCTTCTGTTTGTGATACGCATTAAGAACACTCTATTCTGCTTAGGAGCGACTGACGACTAACGTATTTAAAATAAAACGGTACAGCCCGTCCATATCTTTACGTATCGGATACTTTGTACTTGGAAAAGCAACAGTTTCGAACTTTGTTTTACCAAGAAATGACTAATAGGATGTCCTCATCAGAGACTGCGACGTCATTAGAGGATGTGGGTACCAGTGTTACCCTACTTTTCACATTCACAGCTACAAATACAGTCAGAAACTAACACTCCAGTGCCCACCTTGGAAAATTTCATTAGTCATTGTAGACCATTTGATTGACTAAACATTAACAAGAATGATAATTAATTGATTAGCTAGGCAAAAAATAAATTAGTTTTTCAATGTTTCGGAATATCTAAAACCACATGCGTAACATCCTAAGTATTACGATTTCAGGGAGATAGAAATGATGCTTTTTGCTTCTTTCAGGGCACAGTTTGTATGGTAGAGAGAAACGAAGTCTTAAGTCGAAGTTGTCTATATGAAAATCAAATTTTCAGGTACATTTATCCCTTTATGTTTCCGCATGTATTCATAGATTGCAGTCAGTCAAATCGTACAGCACTTCTACTTAGTGACACAAGCACTGTGGCTGTTCAAGCATTGGTTAACAACTTACAATCTGTTGGTGTGACAGTCAACTACATCTCTGGAGGAATTTCAACTTATAGTGGATCACCAAATGCAGCTAACTACGACTCAGTAATTTTAATTACTGGCAATGATTATGCTACAGATATGCCAAGTAGTGGGCAAGAGTCGATTCGAAATGCTCAACAAAACAGTGGCACTGGTATAGTAATGACCGAATGGGCAGCATATGAAGTGTTAAGTGGAAGATGGTCGGTACTGTCTTCACTTTTGTTGGCCACGCGAATAACAGGCGTGACTGCAAGCATGTCGTTTGATTTGGTTAGCATCAATCATCCGATTTGGAACGGTTTAGCAGCATCTTTCAATACGTCGGTTACACTTGGCTACAGTGTATTATCTACACCTATAAATGGTAGCTTAACAATAGCGAGTTGTATGCAATGTGGTGGACCTGCAGTCATTGTTCGTCCTAGTGTTGCATCTAATGGTCGTATAGTGCAGATTGCTCATGGTGGCCATTATAGTTCCGGTGGAGCTAATTTCAATTGGCAGAATGATGCTAATCTTGTAACTATGATGAATAATGCAGTTAAATGGGCAGCGAAAATGATTTGACCTAAAACATATACTTTTTATTGAGTGATAAACTTTAAATGCTTCTCGTAGTTAGAAATCGCAAATAGATCAACATGATCAAACCTCCTCTCTCCTTTTCATCGACTCCTTTACTAGAATTTCTTAACAGTCCAAGATCGAACACATAGCTTCTAATCGTTCTTTGTCTAAACATCAACAGTAGAATATCAACTTTCAAGGTCAATAGCGTTCTGTTTAAAACTTTATCCTTGTAACCGTTCTCTTCTATATAAATCCCTGTACTTTCTTCACTTCATCCAGTGCTCTCATTTCTTTTTCTTTTTCTTCTTCTTTTTTCATGATCCTTGTATCCTATCCCATTTGTAAGCGCTTCAGAACGTCACAAATAAACCTCCAATATACAAAAAACAAATCACAAATTCAACAATCTACATGGTATGTTAGCTGTTTATGAAACTCATTCTTAGTGTTCTTGATACCGTACAACACATAAACAATTACGAATCCAGGATGTTTTATGAAGCCCGATTGTGAATGATTGCTGTCGTCGAATAGGGCGCAAAACTTCCAGATATCTGTTTTTTAGAAAACTTTCGTCACAAACGGCTCATTATAAACATTGCAATTAATGATATCTATAGCTCTCACAACGAGCTGCAACCTTGAGACACATGTCATTCCCTGCAGCTTCCTTATTCGAGTTTCCAATAAAGTGCTTCTCATACAAACTTGTGCAATTCATACACGGCATCATTATCTCGATCCTCCTACGGTGCACTTTTTAACAAAAACAGAGTATAAGAAGAGTTCTCGTTTCCCCATAAGTTCTGTTCGTGAAAATGTTCTGAGGATACAAGTCTGAAAAAAGAGCATTTCATACAATCATTTTATGCAGCCCTCTGCTTTCTTCAATTTCAACTTGTCTAAAGAAAAATAATTAAGATCTAAGCAAGGAGAAGACGAATTTATGATCGAAATACAGAGTAAAATAATTTCAAAATTCTCTTTTTCAACTTTACTTCTGTGGAAACAATAATTCTTCTTATATTCAGCTGTTTACGGGCTACAACATAGTGAAAGTGGATGTGATAAGATCAGAATAATTAAGAGCAGGTGTATATGTAACGCAAGTAAGCAGAATCATCTCATTACCCACTCCACACCTTTACTCATTCCAGCTCACTATTTTTTTTGCAGATCGTTCTTCTAAAGAATCTCTTTTGACCACAATAGACAGATTGACTACGGAAAAACCTCAGACTAAATCGAAAATTCACTTTTGGCCTCCATCATCAATTCGTATTTGTTCTTTCAAGTCGGCAATTGCCGAAGTCTTTTCTTTGATGTTTTTATCGAGACATGTATGAGGGTGTAGTTGGATGTAGGTGTCGGCGCTAGTATGGATTTACAATGTGAATGTTTTTGTCGGTGTCACTTTTCATGTAACTCACCGCCACAGCCTCCAAGTTTGCATTAGTTATGAAAACATTCGAGTGAATGTCGAAAATTACTTTGAAATATTCAAAATTTCAGTTATCCCTTCGAACAATAATTTACGTAATGAAGATAAGTACCGAATACTATATTGAGATTGAGTTTGGTTGAGCAAATTACGGTTCAACTTGGGAGAGTTACATAACATTAGGTTGAATTATTATGAAAAAGATATTGAAAATGAATGAATAATCGGTTTTTTTTTATTCCAATCTTTATCGCATTTTATTTAACAAATTAATTTTTGTTAGTAGTTTCCATAAAATTAAATAGAACAACGAAAGAAATTATCACAGATTTTCTTCAGTTGATGAGTCTTCATCAGATTTTGTCTAATCGAAGAAACAAAGTAATCAGCAATAAAAATTTTTACAACAATAAATCTTACTTGTTTTTTGTTTTGTATAGAATCATTTTCATCAATTGAACGTTTTTTCTTTGTTGCAGCTTTTCCTAGTGGTCCCCATCTTGCATGTGGATTACCCATAAAACGTATCAATTTATTTTTTCTAGCTTCTGATTCCCAATCTGGATGTTCAGTAAAATCTACTTGAATTGTTGATGGTTTTGTTAAAAGATGATAGTAAGGTGAATCAGTATTTAATTGTTCTGTAGATGCACGTTTTGTTGATGATTGTTCAGCAAATGCACGCATTATATCCCAAATAATATGATGTGGTGCATTAGTTTTTATTGAATCTTGACGAGCATGAGACGTTGATACACGATAACCAGCATTTAATAAAGCTGATCTTAAACAAAAACCAATCATCATAGTTTCATTCGAATGAACAAATGATGAATATAATAATTACTTGATAACTTTGTTTTGTGGAATATGTGTATGCATAACACGAGCAAGTTTTCCATTGTCAAAATATAATGGATCAGGTAATTCTTCTTTTACAACATATAACATACTTAACATTCGATCTCGATAGGCATAACTTAATATTTAGAAATTAATTTTAAATAAGTTTTCTATCGCCTTTTGGTTACCTATCATCTGGTGCTTGTTCAATTGATGTAATAAGTTCATTAACAAAAGAATGATCAAATAAAGGTCCAAGCCAAATTGGACCACCCATTCGAAGACTAAATTTATATTGAAAATAAAAATACTTGATTCAAACGATTCTAATAAATCTTACTTCGACGCACAATGTGGACAATTAGTACCTACTGGTGGTCCATGTGCATATTTAAATTTCGCATTACCTCGTTCATCAAGTGATGCTTGTCCATAGGGTTGAAAAGAAAACGAACTACAATAAACACAATTGTATACTGTTGCAATTTCACCTAAAGATTATTATTTGTAATGATTATACTAATCATAAAAATGACAAACCTAATTGACTCTGAGCTTTAGCAGATCCATAACCAATACGTACGAATAGACGTACATAAAAATCAATAGACATACATAATAATGGTTCAATTATTCGATCATAACGAGCAGCTTGCATATGTAATGTATAAAGTATCATACGAAGAGCAAATTCATGACAAAATGGTTGATGTAATGATATTGATCCATATTTAGAATAGCAACTTTACAAAACTTAATTTATTATATAAAGTTTAATTTTTTCTTTCCATTTACCTATGAGGATTATTTCCACATAATGATGCCATATCAGTAGCTAAATAAAATTAAAAGAAATAGAAAATTTGAAAAGATTTCATGGCATTACCTGTGACACAAAGAACGCCATTTTTTTTAATACATTGTACTGCTCCATCTTTACAAGTAAAACTTGATAAGTTTATTGAAATTTAAATTAAAAAAGAAAACAAAACTAAAGAATACTATTTACCCAAAAATTGTGCTGGTGTACCATATGGATCTAAATCCACAACATGAAATTGATCATCTATTTTTCTATGACTATATAATAAATTCATAGCATCATCATGACTCGCTTGAACAAGATTTTTGACATCATTCAATTCAATATTTTGTTTTATTGATTCAACTGCTCCAGCATCAATATCATTCGCATAGATTGTATCAATACCTGAAATTTTTGTAATAGATAAAAAATTATTAATTTAAAATATTTTTTTCTTTTCCCCAAAATCAACTGATGATAAAGGACGCATTAGTTGCAAAAAATGATATACTCATTTGATAAAAATACTATAAAATTCTAACATTGACTAATTCTTTCTTCCAAATGTCTACTATACAGTAGAAATACACAAGATGAACATCTCGATTTGAATTTCTTCTTATTCGTAATGGTTTACTTTTTGTTTTATCTTCATACCTGGAATTTCACGTGCATATCGAATAGATCGTAGTCCTGTAGCTGATAAGGCTTCGGCAATTTTCAATCCATTCTCTTGTCGTACCCCAGCAGATAATTGATCAAATGATATACAAGTTGCATTCGGATCATTCTTTTTTATTTTTTTACATTCATTTTCATGATGATATTTTGAAACAAGATGAAGACAAGCAACACTTAAATCACGATTAAATACTTGAGCTGGATTATAAAAAACAGCACCCTCTGGTAAACGAATATTTGCTTTGCCTTCTTTTACTTGTACATTATCGGTCATTATTGTTGAAAGTGAATAATCTTCGTCGTTAATATCAATAGTTGATAATCTACGATTAAGAATTGATGATCGTATCAAGAAGAAATTAACACGTATACGTGATAAATGAGATATCATATATATAAAAGAAAAAATTTCTACAGAAAAAAGAGCAAAAAAGAGACGATGTTCGAGAAAGAAAAAAACAACAACAATAGTTATTTGTTTTATAGAAACAAAAAAGAAAAAAACATGTTCATCATCTTCGATTTTATCGAGATTTACATATCTTGTTGGAATCCAATTTTTGCATATTTTTCACAATCTATGTTTATTTTTGTAATAGATAATTGATTGTGTTTTTTATTGTATTTCAATATTAAACTTTTATAATTCATTTGATTAAATTCATCACTTTGTTTTAATATCTAATAGTATAATATTCATATTGTTAATTCGATCTCTTGACTTTGCATCATCAATAGTAAGACAAATATTACAAGTTAACTTTTTAAAAATGTTATCTATGTTAAACAGGATATATTTTCTTCTTTTTTATATTTCCATTTTTTTTTCTAAACAATAAGAATAATAACAAGAAAAAAATGGAAGATCAAACGACGGAAATTTTATTTAGCGTCGTTTTAATAATAATATCAATGTAAATATATAATTAGTTTTATTTTGTTTCTTTTTTGGTGAATACAAATCAATAGTCTTATAAATCAATAAGAAAAAAAAGAAAAGCATTATTATTGTGATGCGTTATTAGATGTAAACGGAACTTGTAAGCGGGTTATTAATTCAAATATGGATGGGTATAATGAACATTCATCTAGAACGAACGTATCTATCAATAAAATATCAACAAAATGAATAATAAGCAATATACTTTTACTGATTATTTCTTTTGATGCATTCAAAATTTTTATTATAGTTTGATATTTAACCTCATTTCCAATCGATGGTTGTTTATTTATTCCATCCCATAAAATTGTTTGATTATTAATCATATCATAGACTAATGGAACAATAAATGTTGAAGTATTACTAGAATTTGTTTGAAGTTCATTTTGATTTATTCGAGAAATAAATTGAAACTAAATTATTTTTAAAAGAAAATTTTTATCAAAATATAAAATAGAAACAACTAAGAACAAAATCATACCATAAAAATAAATGATGATCGACTAGACATATAATAGATTGCTGGTTGGCCAACTTGAGAAAAACCATTACCTTGTGGTACTGTTAAACACCAACGTGCTCGCCATAAATGATGATTTTCAGGATTCTAAAGAATAAACAAAAAGAAAAAGAAAAATGTTGTTCAATATTCTTTGCATTGTGATTTCAATTGTTAGTTAACACAAGTTCTTAACATTAAAGATGTACAGGATAGAGTAAAGTAAACTTGCACATCTCTAGTTAAATTATATCAATTTTAGGAACAAAACTCTGCTTGTTTTGTCATAACTATTGCTAAAAATATGAAATTTTAACTAGATGAATTATCTGTCTGATGGTATCTTTAGAACGATTTAGATGACATACATCATTTTTAATGGGAGCTAATTATAAGACAACTTGAAGTTTTGTTTAATAGATTTCAAAGGCACTTTCGTCTCTGTATACAGTTATTAAAATAAATATAGCTTTATAAATGCTTAAATTAGAACACTACTAGATAAACTACAATAGATTTCTGTAGAACTAGCTGATCTATTGATTAAAACCATTAAGAAATTCATTTAACTAGACTCAAATATAGATGCATCAATATTAAAATTTGAAGATAACCTGTTCGAGTCCAATTATTTTCACTAAATCTTTTAATATTCGAGGTTGAATAAGTGAAAGCATTCGTTCAAATGAACCCATAGCTGTACTTTGATTTTGAGATGCTTGTAAAGATAAAATATCATTTGAAGGCATTATTAAATTCGATATTGGTGATAATGGAAAAAATGTCTCATTAAAAAATATTTCCATTAGTTGAAGTTCATCTGATGACCAGAAAATATTCGATGGTTGTGATGATGTTGAATCAAATAAAGACATAAAATACATTCGATACATAGCTGTTGGAATATCGAATACAAATGATATTTGAAGAGATAAATGTTCTATTCGATATGTATCTTGTTCATTTGATATAGAACGAACCTAAATGTTTAATTTTAATGAAGAAAAAAATGTTGATTTTTTTTTTCTTATTCTTACAGTTGGATTATTTGCATCAGCAGGTTCAGTAACAGCCTTAGCAAATTGTCGTACAAGAAGAGATGAAGCAAGAAATGATTCTAATTTCGACCATTGATGTCCATCAGGTGTAAAAAGCATTTGAAAAAATGTTTGTTGAGTCATATATACAGGATAATTAACTTTGGTTAATAATTCACGATTATAACTATAGCGTACTGATAATTGTTGATTATCTAAAGATGAAAAAAAAAAACAAAGGATTTTATTAAATTTAAGAAACTAATTGCATCTAACCAGTATGATCTGATCTGACGTTGGATGAAGTTGATGCTGAGGTAACAGGTAATGAATCTCGAAATATCACATCTGAACACACAATGTTTTCGATGATTAGAATTTTTTTACTAGTGAAAAGAAAATTCTCTAACCATAAATATCACTAGGTGATGAAACTGGTGATTGTGTTGTTATATCCATGAATGAATTCGGTAATATTGAATCATTTTCTGTGTTTAGGCTTTGATTTGTCATTTGACTTGAAATTGGTGGTAGTAGAGATGTTTGCTGTTCTGGCAAAATAAAATCTTGTTCATGAAAACAATTTGTTATATCAGAAAATTCAAATGTTAAACCACGATCATTGGCATATACCGATAAAAATTCCTATAGAGAAAGTAAAACAATTTCATGGTTTGCCTTTTTTTTTTTTTTGAAATAAAATTTTACTTTAAGTCTAGGGATTAGTGCAAGTTCAGATAATGAATTATTTAATTGTACACTAAATGAACCATCACGAACCAGGATTAAATTAGGACCACATATCTGAATATCAAGTGCAAATATTTGACCAAATATAAGACGCCATCGAGATTCAGTATATGGAACAAATGTAAGAATCGATTGAGTACAGCCACCCTACATATATAATACATGATAATTTTCAATTTAAATGAAAAAAAAAAGAAAAGTAATAATGCGTTGTAGGACATTTATATGTTCTAAAAGTTTTAATAGAAGATAAGTGTAAATGAGATAATAAAACCTTCATTGATATAATAATGATTAACATTATTATTTAGAGATATGCGTTTCATGTGTTAGTAGGTCATTTCCAATTTCATTTTATTGTTCTTAGGTAAATATTTAGAAATGAAGTACTATGTTTAAAGAAATATTATAGAGCAACAACTGTGCGGAAGACATTGCTAAAATAAAAACTCAGTTATTATTAGATGTTGTGCACTTCTCTATTAATATCATTCCTTCTAATTGGTACTGCTTTGCTTTTATTTTATATTAACAAAAATGTTAAGACCTATAAGTAATGTCTATTGATCTTAGAATTACTATTAAAGAAAAAATATTAATGTAGTTAACTAACCTGATTAACAAAAACAATCGGTCGATTGAAACAATTTAATCGAGCAATTGAAGACAACGGAATTGCTGTCATATGTAACAACTATAAGAAGCAAAACAAAATATCATTTTATGTATCATATAGTTTATTCCAAAAGAAGAAATTTTTAGATTTTACTCGAATAAATTGTTTTAATGAACGTGTTTGATTAAAAAATAAACATAATTTTCTGCTTAATATTTGATGATATGTTGGTATAAATGTATTGTTTATTGTTGTAAAACGTAAATCAAATGTTCCTTCGACATTTGAATTTAATTCTTGTTGTGTTTGATTACTATTATAGGTTAATGTTACCTAGATATTTAAAAAAACAAAAAGTATTTTAATTAAAAAAATAAGTTATTCCTATATACGAACAGCATAAGCAAAATTTGGTCCATAATGAATTGTACATTTAAAAAAATTAAATGAAATTAATTTAGAAATTGCATGAAGATCAGTTAGTTCTAGAAAAAACAAAACAAAAAAAAAACATACAAAGAAATTCGCTATTGTATTTTCTATTAACCTAATAATGCTAATGAATAATTTTCAAATAAATGTGTTAATTCATATGCAGCTCGAAGTTTACTATGAATAGAATCGACTATTTTGGAAGAAGTCTCTTGTGATGTTTGATTACAAACAACAACAGAATTATATGGAGCTAAATTAAAATAAAAACAATGATTTATCATTTGAAAATTTTAAATATACTTTTAATAAAAGCATTATGAAAATAATTTTTATTGAAAAAATTTAACTAGAATAAAAAATTAAATATAAAATATATGTTTTTGATATTATATTATAACTTTACATCTAGAGTCCATTGTCGTATTGTAGATTTATTGTCACGACCAATATCACGTATAGTATAAGCTAATCGAATAGTACAAGATTGAATACGAGGCCAAAAATATTCATTAATATAGCTGAGAAGTTCAGTATTTGATAAAAATGAATCATCATCAGTTGGTGTTCTATTCAAAGAATAATATCATTCAAATTAATAATTTTATATGCGTCAATGTTACCGAACAACATCAAGATAAGGTATGCCTGTCCATGGACAATAGAGAACACTTTTACAAAGTGTTTTTTTCTGTTGAAACTAAAAGGAAGAGAAAATATTACAAAAAAATATTTATTTCTGGTTCTTTTATTTCAACTACATTGACAAGGTTCAGAAGTGAATCAAGAGATATAATTAAAGTAGAATGCTATAAATTATCAAATTGATTGATAATCTCTTTAAAAATTGTTCGAATTTCTAACAAATGACGAAACTCTTTGAAAGAAATATCAAACTAAATTAAGCTTAATGCAGTAAAAGATGAATCAGAAGTTCTGAATTGTTTTGTTTAGGGTGTTCGCCTTAAAACTCGACCTTGGTCTAGGTACATTCAAATCATATGAAACTCTCAGAATATGTTGGTACTGTAGTGAAGTAGTGATAATAAAAATCATGCCATTTATGTAAGATCAGATCTCGGACTATTTGCTCATGTATTTATCTCAATTTTCATGTTTTTTTCAAGAAAACAAACTCGTTTGAAGAGGGAGAGGTATTAATAGATATTTTCACACATATCTTCTGACAGAACTGTCTTCTATAGAGAAAAAGTACAGTAGAACGCGCTCTTCAAACACGAGAGATAGATTTTCATAAGAGTATAATTCCTTGACAATCTTACTGATTTTCTAGATAGGACATCTATTAAACAAAACGAGTCAGAACTTCTGGTCCAATATTAAGTACTCCTCGTTGAATATTATATTGTTTTTCGTGCTAAAGACTATGTAGACTACTTATCTCTCGTTGATAGGTTAAAACAAATGAAGATCTGTATAAATTACAAATTCAGATCGTCTGTTTTCATAACCTATTCTAAAGCTAAAAAAAAGAATATAACTGAAATCGGCATAACTCTAGTTTCTTCACAAGTCATCAAAATAATCTTTTATAGACAATCAAATATTTACTTACATTTTCCTTTAAAAATATAAATGAAAGCATTTCATCATAATAATTAACAAATTTTATTAGTGATTTAATAGATAAGATCGATGTCTAAATATTTAATTAAGGAAAAAAGTTTTTTTTTTTTCAATTAAGTTTTAGAAATTTCATTACCAGTTGTGCTTGTTTAACTCCATCATCATCTATAATTGATTTATTATATTGAAATAAATTTTTAAACTAAGAAAAACGAGCAATTTTCTTTGAAATTCTAGTAATATTTCAATTAAAACAAACTTCAAATAATTCTTTTCGTAAAAATGTTGTTGGATCTAATGGATATAGAACTAGTGGTTCTAATATCCATTTTGCACCTTCATCATTCGATGTTGTTGTTGTTGTTGTTGTTTGTTGATTAGATGTTTGTTGCTGTTGTTGAAGAATAAGTGGTTCATGAATAGATGAACGTTTTTCAACAATTAGTAAATAATATTGAACTAATAATTGATTTACATCTGATACATGAAGAAGCTTTAAATAAAATTTAAAAAAACTACTAATGAAGAAAAAAACTCGAATTATTAACTTACAATATAAAATCCTTCATTATGAATTAATTCAATATAAATACTATTATTAATGAAAGGAATAATTAATTCATGTTTTGGATTTAATGATGGTATACGTGTATAAATATGACAATTGAGATGAGCTAAGAGTGATGGAATTCGTTGTTGAATTAACCAAATTCTAAAATTTATAAAAAATAAACAAAATGAAAATTTTTCTTAATACATAAATAATTATCTTACTTAAATAAATTAATAGAATCAATTAAATTTGTTTGTTCACGATTAAGTGCATTTTCAATTTGTTGTGAATAGCGAGTTTCTAGACAAGAATAAAAAATAATCGATGAAATAAAAATAAAAAGATAAATTTTAGTTTTACCCATATAAGAAACAACTTTAAATAAACCCGAAAATGGATTAATTGATATAAATAAAATTTCTTCCGATGTACTTTCAGGTAGAAATTCACATTTTAATGCTGGAATTGATGAATCGATTTCAACTAGAAAAGAAAAATTTATTTAATTATAATTAATAATTTATGAATAAATACTATTTGCTTTAGTAGTTGATAAAATAGTTTCTTTTAATTCCTAAATAAAAATATTTAGATAAAAATAATAATATCGAACAAATAATTAACAAACTTCAAATCGCCGTTGACATCGTGCATAAATTGTTCGATTTAAAATTTCTTCCATTGTAAATATTGGCTTCTAAAAAACAACACAATAATTAATAAGTTTGTGCCTTTTTTTTCAAAATTGATGATAAAGAGGAGTATTCTTTCTAGGGAATATTTTTTGTATTTTGAAAAGAAAGTAGTATTTTAAGATGAAACGAAATAGATGTTTTTAGAGGTTCTCTAGAAAAGATAGCCAGATAAACATTGTAGTTTCACCTTTCCCTTCGTCTATCTGAACAGCTTCAGGTTTGACTGATCTTCAAGGAGAAAAATGTGAAAATTCTGCACTTCACCGTACCTCAAGGGTATGTCGAAAACTATCTTCTAGAGCTTCTTCGCTATTTTAAGTTTACTATTAACGTGCGTCACGAGTATATTAGATTGAATTCGTGTTTTATAAGTTGCTCATTCTATTATACTGCTTTGCACTTATATTCAACAACTCATATAGATAATGTTTCATCAAGTTATTCTTTTTGAGATGCAGCTCATATCCAATTGAACTTGAAAAGTTTACAAAAAATGCTTAAAAAACGACAAAAGAATTGTAATAAAAGCCCAAACATTCAAACACATCTGACTCGAACCCGTCCACCGTCACTCTGATGATCTTTAATGAATGGGCTTGTTACATGACTTGTCATACATAGATCGATTTGTCCCGATCAAATGACAGTGCCAATATTTCTTCAATAAATTCATTAGTTTTCATCACTTTCATTGAAAATTTTGTTTTCAAGAGATTGTCCGTTCAGTCCAGTAGAAACATACACAAAAATGGTTCATTCCAACTTCAAAGAAGAAAAATTGCTACGAGAACTTTGTTTTCATATAATAAAATGTGCACTTTCTCACTGTGTAGAACGAACTCTATTTGAACTCAATATTGTAACTCAACAATGGATTTCGTCAAATTGAGTTGCCAACGGTAATTTTTTTTGTTGTTTATTTTACTCGTATCATTCGGCAAAAAAAAACTCAAAACTTTGCTTGTATTTGTTTTGATGCAATGTATAGGAAGTGTTTTTAAATAAATAAAAAAAAACTAAAAAAGTTTTTCTGCCGAGGGAGTGAGACAGGTCGAAGCTTCATAATAGGTACTATCTATTGAAATGAACAAGAATACAAAATCATATATAGAGAGTTTCACTTGCACTAAGATCAAAAGAAAAGTATCAAACAGTTTTTCTCGATTAATAACTTTATTTCTCAAGAAAACCATTAGACGAGTAATTCCTCTTTCATATTCTAAATTCGTTTAGTTGGATTTTGAATTTAAATTTTCAAATAATGTTTCTACACATGTAATCACGGATAATATCGACATAGTATTTTTCAACTTATCAAGGAAAAATTGTAAATCTAAAACCAAATATACTTACACTATAAATACTATCATCATTTAACACGTTCTTAAACGTAAGTTTAGTCTAAACTTACGATGGAATATTCACGTATGTCTACATCCTTTTGAACTGATATTTCAAGAGTTAACTGAATCATAACTAGATTATACTAAAATTTTCAATATTTTTTCAGCAGTTTATTATCAAGACTACTCTCAAAAATATTATTAATCTGTTACTTTTTAATAGCGTTCAAAAAACATTTTTCATAACGTCCATATACATGTCAAATACTCGAATAACTGAAAACTCAACAAACTACGCGAACGAGCAAAGTATCAACTCAAAGAGGATGCAGATACCTGAGAATCTCATCTTTATAGAACAGATTTCTAGTCATCTCATCTGACATATGTAAACAAAAGTCAATACTTACGTCTAAAATTTTTAAAATGGCAACTGTATCATCAATAGGTAAGGGTGGCCAATGTTGTATTTGAAATTCTCCATCATCATCACAAATAATCGTCATACCAATATCTGTAAATTAAAATAATATTCAAATATGAATCAATAGCATTATTTTTTTTTTGTGTATACCCATATTTTTTCCATTGAGAATTTGTTTTTTCTGTTGATTATTATTAATACTAGCAGTATATTCTTTCCAATATTCAATATAAAAACTTTTACATGGATTATAACCAGATATATGTAAATCTTTTTGTTTTGCACCTTGATTACGTATTCGATGAGCCTTGAATAAATAAAAATTTATTTCAAGTGAAATTATAATATTTAATAACTACTTGTTCATATAAAACTTGTAAACGTAATGATTGACAATAATAATCTATTTTAAATGAAAAAACAAAACAGCTTATATTAAGAAAAACAAAAAAAAAAACTAGTAGATACACACGTAGATAATGATAAAGATCAACCAATGGTTTTTCAGACTCATTAAGCCAACTCTGAATATAATTTGTTAATACTTGTATCTAAATATATATATATATATTGTTAAAAATTATTCTACATTGAAACTTTTAAACCTACTTGCATCGGATGAACAAGATCTTGTTCTGAAAAAAGAAAAAGAAATATTTCATTACGATCTTAACGATATTCTTCAAAATTAATCCTTTACACTTCCTGTTGGTCACTGGAGTGATTATTTGTAGAAAATAAAGGAAGCATAGAATTTGACAGTGACAAGAAAATTTTTTATAGTGAATTTCATTTTATAAAAATCGAATTTTTCAAAACAAAACTTAATACATGTATTATAAATCTCAACTAATGAGAATTTAAAATAGTATTTATTTTGAATTAAATTTTTTTAGAAGTTATAAAATATTTCATAGCAAAGTAGATGTTGGTATTAATTTTTATTACTACTTATGAAGTTATTTTATTAATGATTCTTCTGGAAACGCTGTGGAAGAATAAAGAATTAAAAACAACATGTATTTATTTTCCTACCCGGTTCTTCTGGATCTTGTAAAAATAATTTTGTTTGATAAAGACGCCATGAAGATGATAGATTATCATTTGTAATTCCTAGTTTAACTTCAAATTCTCTATCAACGGTCAATGTTACTAATCCATTTTCTATAAAAATAATCAATCATCTACTAAACAAATATCTCTATTTATTTTCGTTGGCATACTTATTGTTACAGTCGTAAATTGAATAGGTAATTCCGAAGTTGATATTCTTGTTGTAAGAATTTGTTGAAGACGTGGTAAAATTTGTTGACGTTCACTCTCAGTAGCTGGTGTAAAAATTGTTGTGACTTCTGCGATTCGTTTAGGCAAAAAATTCACAGAACCAAGTGTCATTGCATCAATAGCATCTGTTACAGGAAAACTAGGTACTCGAGCTTCAAGAAGTTTTTCACGTGCAAGTTGAGCTAATGAATCAGATGTTTCACGTATTAATCGAGCACGATGTTCAAGAAAATTTTGTATATCCTTAAAGAAAAGAAAAAGATTTCTTATATTTAATTTTTCTTGAAAACAAAACAATATGTACCTCGCATGCAGTCACTTTTCCTGTTGTTGCTGCCCATTTAACAACAGCTAAAATTCGTATAAATAATTGTCTAGCACGACAAGCAAATTTAATTAATTCTATTTTTCTAATTAAAAAAAAAAAAAAGAAAAATTATTCATGAATCATCAATCTTTATTGTCAAAAAATTTTATCTCTACCGTTCTAAGTTTGATTTACTATGTAAACTAAATTATCGAAAAAAAAAAATAGATTTATATTAAAATGAACAATTTTATTAATTAGATACATACACATCTGCCATTGTGTATAATTCATGATAAGTTTTTTGTACAGCAGCGTCAAGTAAATGGGACAAAGGAATTTTATCATATATTGGTACGATTAGAGCATTACTATTACCAACTGATGGACCAGCAGACATCTTAAAACTAATTAATAGATTTTTATCTAAATGCTTTTGCTTCCTTTTTTGCTTTTAGTTTCAAGTATATTAAGAAAGAAACTAGTTTCAATCGGATCATATTCTATTGGTTTATATAGTGGATGAATAACAATTTTCAAAGTAAATCTTTCGTTGTATTGAGACTGATAATTGCTGACATCTAGTTTTGTCAAAGTGTAAAACATAGTCATTACTCTATTAACACATTCGCTATAATGCTACTGAATCATTGTCAACTATGCGATAAATTAGAAATAGAAGAAAAACAAAATGAAGAAACAGCAATTTCCTTCTTTTCGTACGAGATTCATTCATGAGTCACTTAGTGCATCAATGAACCGAGTTTAGATTTTAGTCATGTCGCGACAGCAGTAGATTTCCAGTCGTGATAGATATCTCTGATAAACAAGTGTTTATCAATCTATCGTCTTTCGACATACTTATTGTTAAATATATTAAAAGCATTAAAGTTAGCTAAAAATTAAACGCAGTATAGCATCACATCCGAATTCATACATAAATTCATTCTTGTTGTGGTAGAATGGCAAGGAATTACTCCTAAGAAAAATATGTTAGAAAAAGAGTTTGTTCAAACAAAACAAATCAGGATCACTATATTCGTTATTATCTACTACAACGATCATCGCAAAAGAAATCTGTATCGGTGAAATTCTTATTATCTACTTAGGGCATACCAAAAGTAGTATTGCTATTATCTTATTTCCATACAGAAAGCTTAAAGAAATTTTGCTTTTATATGTAGTGATAGAGAAGACGATGCTTGATTTTTCTGTGCTAGTTGATCACTCTTCAACAAACATCAGAATAATACAATATTAATATGAACTACTTCTCTATCCATATGTAACGTTTATACTGATGCCTATCAGGCAAGTGAATCTTCTTTGAATACCTTTTAATACAAACAAGATAGAGAGAGGAGCAATTTTCATCGCTTAAAAGAGCGAACAACGACATGTCGAATAGTATATAACAGGCTTGTTTGACTTTATTTTTCGAAGGTTTCCAGTTGATTTCTTTGGAAGCAAGCCTAATTCGTGAGGGTTTTCGAACGAATTTTAAATTGTCAGTTGCATATTCAAACTGTCAAAGAAAGACTTAAAAAACTACACAAGACCCACATATTTAGGATTAATCATTCAAAAGTTATAGGCAATGCACTCGAAGCTTCAAGTGATTTTCTTAGCGATTTTCATGAAAAATTGTACTTACTGTTTTTTGATGAAAAACGAATTTTTTCGACACTTAGAAAATTGATTAAGTAAACTTCAAAGAGAACACTAGAAAAACGCACAATATACCATTCCATGCATGTTTATCTTCTATTTCTAATGATGAAAACTGCAGCTCTCTATCTTGTTTCTATTAAAAGTTATTCGAAAATGATTCATTCGTCCTAATAGACACTTGTATAAACATTACATATTGATAGAGAAGCAGTTTTTATCAAAATTGTATTATTATGATATTAGTTGACGAATGATCAAATAGCACAGAAAAATAGAGCATCGTTTTCTCTATCGTTACATATAAAAATAAAATTGCTTCCAGCTTTCTGTACGGAAATAAGATCATGACGATACTACTTTTGGTATGCTCCAGGCAAGTCCTACTAAATGATACCAAATAACTATATCCTACTGGATTTATTCGAAATTTATTCTTTTATTAGACTTATTATACAAAACATCCAGATTTTCAAGTCCTACTAAATTCTGAAACAGAAACAGCTATCGAAATTCATTGAAAATATCTAAACGAGTCTCGAAAAAATAATTCTTCAAGGCTACTAATCTTGTATCTTTATAGAATATCATTTTTCAAAATATAACCTAATTCAGTTTCTATGTGAATGAAAATAATCGATTTTTCTTATAAAATTACGAATAAAACTTGGCACTCTGTCCGATCAGAAGATTAAAAATTTTATCTATCTACAAATGAAAATTTTGAGGAAGAAATACAGAAAGCAAGAAAAATTTTAACAAAGTAGTGATCATTATATTTCTTCCACTGATCGCATGGTGTGTTTCAAAATAACCTTCAATATCCAAAACTTTGCTCAAAGAAAACAAAATTCACTTAATTTTTCTACGCACAATTACTAATGAACTATTGGTAAACGGTTGACAGCTAAAATTCCTATTGCTTGTGAAAGCCTCATCTTTTTTTCAGACTTCTTGACGATATCAAAAAAAAAATGAACGAAGTATTTCATAAAATTACTTTTCGCTTAGTCGTTAAAATTTGAAAGATAATTTCTAAGTTTAACTTTAATTATATTGATTTATCTTTCGAGCTATCTAGTAGTATTTGTATTACCTAAAGATATTCTTGATGAAAGTTTTAAAGAGTAGCACAATGTCATTAACTATAACGATAAGTTTAATAAAATTCTGATATTCAATATTGATATCAACTTTTGTTTTTTTTTTATTCACTGTTCCTGTTATTGTTTCGTGTAATCCACGTGCAAAATCACTCTTATAATGTGGTTCAGCTTTTTGTAAGAAAGGTTTTATTAATCTACTTGTTAAAGGTTCACAAACAAACACAAGTATGTTTTGAATTTCTTTTTGTTTTAAATACAAGAAAAATAATCTTTGTTCTATTTTTTCTTTTTCATATTTAGGTTTATCAAGTGATACAAATGCAAGTATAGAACAAGAGCGTTATTTTGATGCTATTGTTAAATTAACACTGACAAAAATGTCATTTTCATCAGATCTTGGTGATGATGATGAACCTGAATCAACTGATATAATACCATGATCTGTTCAAAAAACAATACATAATTCAACAACAATTCGTTGACAAACTTTTTTAACAACATATATTATATATGATCGTTCACGAACAAGTAAGTTTGAAAAAAAAGAATAAAAGAATTTTTCTTTGTTTTTAGTTTGCTTGGACTACCAGAATTTCGCCAATATGACTTTCGCCAACTGGACATTCGATAATTGGCGAAAGTCCACTGTACTTTCGCCAACACATCCCCTGGACTTTCGGCAATAGATCCACTGGAGTTTCGTCATTTGTCGAGAGTTCACCGCACATTCACCAGTGTACCTCCTATAATTTTACCGATTTGATTGTAACTTCCATGTTTGTCCTGGAAGACAATAAAAATCAAGAATAATCTTTCTAGATCATGCATACTAAACCATCCCTAAGGTCTATCATCAGATCGAAATTAAGTTTTTCTTAATTTTTTTTACATATTATTCTCGCTTTTTCTTATTAAAGCCATACATCGGTCATGTTCGAATGAATCGTAATGGAACGCAAACATATATACTCTGACATCTTAAGTTTCCACATGGAATCCAGGTGTATATTGATTCCTGAAAACTTCCTGGACTCGCCATTGGCGAAATTCGTATTGGCGAAATTCGGGAATCCCTGTAAAATGACCATAGTCCAATTTTGTCCATTTTTTATATCTAATTGTATCAGCCTTTTTTTTGTTTATCCTATTTTTAATACATCTGCTTATTGCTTTATCTGAATGAGCTTTTACTTTTTCTATGATATTTTTACGATAAAATTTAATTTATTGTTGTTATTGTTTTCTATTTTAGCTAGTGTTAGTGTTCATTCAAATCTTGATACATTACTGAGAAGTGAAACAGCAAGTTATACATTAATAGATTCATCAACACCATCATTATTAGCAACAAGTGGAGATGGCGGTGGTAATGATGGTGTCGGTAATAATGAATCAACACATTTTGACATGAGTTTTAATGAATGAATTTTTCCTATCCACAAACGTTCACCACTTTATATTATGGCTGATCGTACTCAACATCGTGTAATTTAAATTTGATTGAATTTAATTCAATACAATTAAATGATAGAATGAATCAATTGTATAAAAAATTGAAGTTACATCGAATATAATAGACTCTATTTAACAATGTCTAGATTAGTCAATATGGAAATCTTTTAACGAACAACTTCTAGGCGTGGAATTTATTTTTTCGATAGAGATAATATTCATTTGATGTATATATAGATATGTCTAGAATAATCTTAGCTTATTGAACTATTGTTCGTGTAATATCGAAATTTTAATAAGTTTTTCGTCCGCTCAGGTTATACGAAAAATCGATTTTCGATTTCGAACGGTGCACCAAAAAAATTTTGAATGAGAATTACTGATTGTACAAATATTAACGTTTCTAATAGATGTGTGAATATGTGAACGAAATTTGATTTTATATGTATAAAAATTTCGAATATGGAATATTTCAAGAAAGGACATACTAGAAAAGTTACAACTTACCCCATGAACTCATCTTAATTGAGACATTTTTCGAGCAAAAATCTTCAGAAATAAAAACTCTATGCATTTATCTATTATCGAAAAAAAAATTAGCCGATAAAGTCCAGTCAATAGTAAACCGGAACAAAAAAACTTTTAGAAAGAAACCTTCAGGACACACTGTAGAAAAATGCGTTGAATAATAAACTATACCAAATTTTCATAAACTCTTGTATGTTTATAAAGATAAGAAACATTTCAAGAGTTTAAAATACTGATTTCAACTCTGAAAAGCATACTTACTAGTTCTCTGAATAAACTACAAGTATCAAAAGACGACTCAGAATTCGAGAGTCGATTTAGTTGACAGAAAAGTCATTGCCACGATTTTTGTGAAATAAATTAGTACTGATTCATTCTGATAAATGTTCAAATGAGTTAAGAACAGAACCAATAGAAGAATAAGGGTTTCTTTTTCTTTTAATATTAAATAACCCATCGATTTACTTGATGTTTTATTTTAAGTAAATAGTTTCTTAAAAGTGTCTAACATGACTTTTAATGATGATTTATTTTAAAAATGTTGAAGAAAGCATACATGAGAAAGCGCTGCATTGATCAACATAATCATCTCAGTTTCAAATAAAAGAAAACTAGTTATATAATTTTCAATGAATTGTCATCAATATAGCAGTCTATATTGTTGCCTATGAAACCTTTGCGAATAAATATCATCATATAATCAATACTTCGTACACCGGTTGGTAATGGAAACGAATCTATGAAATGACACCATCCTGGATGAGACGTCGTGCAAGCTTTTTCTCCGGAATCCACTGTGCTCAATATAGAAGAAGCTGATCGAAACGTCAAGCTAACTTGAACCAGATCATGGGGTAGCAACCTTTGCTCGTAAGTTTGATAGTAAAAACTTAGTTCCGCTCTGAGAAAGCCGGCATCAAGTTGACTTTCCGTGAAACCTTGTACACCACCCAATAGTTTAACATTTTGAACTAATCTTGATGGTGAACCAGGTCCTTCTCCCCCAACAAAGCAAAAAGTTCCACTATGTGGATAATAATTTTCATTGAATTGCCCATTTGAATCAATCATGACAGGAGAAGAGCCAGTTTGATTCCAACCAACAAGTGACCCTAATTCAGCGTCAGGATTTATCAATAAATTTGGTGGAGTCATGGTAGTTGTTGTTGCTTAAGAAGATATAAAAAATAAAAAACTGTTGAGGAAAAACAATCGGTATATTACTTCTACCAGTTGTTGTTGTTGTTGTTGTTGACATATCCGCTAAAGAATAGAATAAAAATAAAAGTTCTATTTTTTTTTGAACAAGTATTTTTTTTTAATTGTTTCTTTAAAAAAATCATGCGATTATTCCAACAGGAAAAATATTGTACTTACTATCGATACTACTTAATGTTGCTAAAAATAATAATCAATGAAAAGTTATTAGATATCATAGAATGACAACAAAAAGGAGAAACTATTACTCGCTATTGTTGATTCCATGATTGAAACAATATTTTCATTGTCATCCGTAGAGAATTGCTCACTTGCATTGATCATTGTTATAGCTAAAACCATGAAAGATTGATTTTTTTAATTTAAATTGAAATATCTACAGAGAAAAAATATACCTGTTGTATTAAAATCCGAAGGTGCTTTAAATGGAAATAAATAAAATTTCAATTTGATAATATATCCTACTAAGACTCACTAATTGTCATTGTTTCGACTAAATTAAATAAATAAATCAAAATATATTTGCACAGTGATAAAACTTACAAATTGTTGAAGATATTTCTGACGTGACAGCTAAAATACAAACAAGCTTTATTCTATCATATTCTAAGTAGTAAGTATTCTTTTATTTACTACATACATGTATTGTTCGATGATAGATCAATATTTGCTATATGAATAATAAATCATTATCAATATCGAAGAGTTGAGCGAAATTGATTATCACTTACTTTCAGTTAATTGTGTTGTAGAGGTTATTGTTGGCATAGCTATTTTAAAAAGTTGATTATCAATACTCTGAAGTCTGATTACGAGTTTAGAAAATTAAGGGAAAGACTGTTCATAATTTTCAGCGAAGCAAAGGATAAACACAAAGTTTTATTACGATTTCATAGCTATATTTGATTATTAAAGGCAGTGCGTTATTGTCTTCTGATTATAAATATTTTCGAAAGAAAAACTAAAAAATATCATTGAAAATTGTGTGTAGATTGTTTTTAATAAATATATGTTCGAAGATTCTATGTTAGAGTTAACTATACGTACACTACATGCGTCAATTTCTTTAAACTTCAGACATTATCTTAGAGCAAGAAATAAGATCATTTGTCAATATCTTTGTTTGTTACATTTTATACATGACAGTTCAGATTTCAAAGTCTAATTAAAAGAAATGACACATTTTCCTTAAAATAAAAGTTTCTATATGTAATATTTGACTATTTGATATGAAATACACACATATATACATATTTACAAAACTACTCTCTAGTTTGAAATGATGAAGGAACATTTGAAAACGTTGATTTATCCTAGTAATTCAAATAGTACAAATCAATACTTTTTTGAAATCAATACTGGTGATATACATGATTCCTTGATAATTTCTTACTTGTTGAGAAAAATATAGGTGAAACAGGAGAATCAACCGAAATATAGAACGACTCTCATCTAGGTCAATACTAAAATTCAGATGATACGCTAGAAAATATTAAAACTGATTACCAGTTTCGAGAAAGATTCAATATAATAATGATTTTTGTTCCTGTAATCGATGATAATAGACGAAAATAATTTATCAACATGGTTTATAAAAATTTCTCTACTCATGATTTACAGTATAAGACAATCTTCATTTTAATCAAATTATATATTTCAATGCAATAATAAGCATACGGGTTACTTTTCTAGTTGAAAATGCTTTGCATGTTGAGTTATATCATTATTAAGACTAAATATTGGTTTTAAGCAAACTCACTTGTTGTCGTTATTGGTTTGGCTATGATGAATACTAATAATTAGATATCTCTACTATTTAATAAAACTTACAAGTTTTTGTTGTTGATATGTCTATTATATGAGTGAAATAAAAATTATATAACAAATACTATTTTTTTTAAACTGTGTAAATCTACTTGTTATTAATAGATGTGTCGTCGCTAAAAATAAAATTAAAATTATATTTTATGCAGAAAGAATTATCAAAAATTTATTGCAACTTACTTCCATTTGATATCATAGGCAAACCTGTAGTTGATATTGCTATTGGAAAAATTCATAAACATATATGAAATAAAACAAATATTTTTGGAATTACTCGAACTGTTTGTTGATGATACTGATGGTACTATAAAAGAATGATACTCTTTCTAACTCAGATTACAATATTTTGCAGTGTTACCTTTGAAAGTGGTGCTTGATAATATCGATTGAGTGAATGCTAAACAAAAAAAAGAAGAAGCATTTGCATATATATAATGGTTAATGTAAGTAACAGCGATTAGTAATGATTATATGAATGCGAAATAATAATTACTCACTTGTTGAAGGCATTAAAGAAGCTAGAATAAAACAGATTGATTGTTATTTCAAAATTAGAAAGAATAACTTCAAAAATACTTGTTTTTCCACTAGATGTTGTTAAAACTGCAAAATGAAATATAAGATATTAAAGTTCAATCAATTACGCAATCATACTTGAAAACAGATTTGTTCGCATTGTAGTCACTAAAATAAGTTAGAAAAAAAAATCTCGATCATCTATTTGCAATCAAACTTTGAAATGCTTTATTATTCTCACTTGTTGTTATCATTCCAGACTGAGTTGTTGATGGATAATCTATAAGTATGAATCTTTATAAAAAATTATTATTATTAAATATGATTCTACTAGATGTTGATATGTTTCTAGTATTTATTAGATAATATGATCACCGCTCACATGTTTTTTTTTCAGTTCTTTCTTAAAGAATATGTGATTACCTATAGTTGTCGACGATGATAGTCGATTGTTCTTTGAACGTGTAACAAGGACCACTGGTACAACGATACTAGTGATGAGCAACAGTGAACCACCAATAATCAGAAGTACTTTGATTATAGTCTTGGATAAAAATTTCGTAACAGCACTTGTACTAAAAACAGGACTCAAAGAAATCAATAAAATCACGAGATAAATTCTACTGAATAGCTGGATTTGTTTGTTTATTGTTTGAAAGAGGATGAACTTGGCGACGGAACCACATTTTGCTAGAATCGATTACAGAACTGGGGGTTGTTGTTGTATGTATTTGAAAGTGATCTTTTATTTTCTGTTATTTATATTTCAACAAGAAAATCCGATAAGAATTATTTTTCATGCATTAATATGAAGTTTTATTATATTCTTGAATGATCTTAATAATGATATCATTTAATAATGTATTCAGCTTAATTTAAGTACTTTATCTTTTACATTTAAAAGCAATTCATTAATTATTCAAGGTACTTTAGATAAGATAAGAGAAGACAAATAATCCCAACTTTAAAGCCATTTGAGTACGATAAAATACTTTTTTTTTTAAGTACATTTCAATTTGTTTTGAAACGTGAAGAGAGGCTGGACGATAAATAACAAGGAAAAATAAATCATATGAATTGTATTATTTTGATAGCTAGAACTTCAATTTCCAATAAGAAGCTATACGATGTCATATGCCTTATCGATAAACAGACAATCTTAAGTTAAACTGCATCGTTGTAAATATACAAATTTTATTTCAACTTGTGATATGTTTGCATTAAGTCAAAATTATAATCTCTGTGCAACGATAAGTCCATAGTCTATCGTTAACCAATTTCAAATGTGAGCTGTCTATGACATACATCGAGCAAGATAGTGAACTTTTAAGATATTTACAATCATAAATGACAAAACATTTTAAATCGAGAGTATACTCAGCAATATTTGCAAGATTCCGTCTGGGAAGTTAAAAATAGGTAAAAGGGAAGGTGGGTGGATATGAATCTATTTATCATTTAGATGAAATATTGTTGTTAATTCTTATTTCCAAGCGATATTTTTCGATTGTATATAGTTGATATGCTTTACAAAAAAGTTCACAACTTGTATTAAAAGATATGCAGTTAGAAAAGCACGGTAACATTTCTTTTTATTTAATTTCAACTATTGGAAAAAGAGTTCTCAATCTATTTTACTGAAATACAGAATAACAGTGAAGCAGCAATGTTCATAAAAAAAAGCAATTACATTTTAGATTTAACAAATATTTCTTAGGCATATAAGATTAGCCACTGAAGGTGAAGATAACTTTCAGTAGTTTGTAGTCTATCTAATTTGAATTTTCCGTACAGATTTTCTTCACTTGTAACGAAGAAATACTATTTCAAGCCGTTGACAATGTAACCTTCAACATTTAGTCATACAAAATTGAATGTTTTCTGAAGAAAATTTTCTAATTTTGCTTCACTACGAACATATTACTATTTGTCATCGAAGATTGTAGAACATTGTGATCTTTGTATGAAAATTTCGTTGCATTTCATAAGTTTATCAATTCAAATGAATAAGAAACAGATGTTTGAGCCTATGTTAACAGTATATGTAAGGTACCTACAAGTTAATATTTTAACACTATTTATTTTTCTTTTTTTGCATGATGGTTGGATGAATGACGTCTTGTTGTGTTATCGAAAGTGTGTTTCAAATCTAAAAACAAATTTTAAAACATTTCTTGAAAATCAGAACTTTTTTTTTTATCTATTTTCCTTATGTTTGAAGATGATGATGATACTTTGGACCATTTTCATTTATTTTTTTTTAATTCGTTTGTTTAAGTTTGAAACTCACTTTTTCTTCTGTAATGTGACGAGCTCTATCCAACCATCATGTAAAAAGAAAAATAATGAGTTAAATGTTCGTTTTGATTTTGACCCGAATGTATCTAATATTCTTTAATAATAGTATAAAACCTTTCATTGTAAGTTAAAATGATAGAAAAATGGTATCCTATGTATTAATATTAAGAAACACGTTAACATGATCTATCTTGAGTTAGTTGAGAAATGGTTTTTATACATTAAAAGTGAACTATAATGTTTAGCTTGATAATAGAGATATTTATTATCCAGGAGTTGAAAAAAGTCTCCTTCTTTTTGCAACAGAACTTAGTTTCCATACTTGAAGGAAGTCTGTAAATTAGTGTGCACATACTTCACCAAGAATGTGAACCTGAATAAGCTGTCTATTAAATTTTGCGTTTCCTTTTAGCAAATACATGACTAATGTTTGATATTTTATTTGCAACAAAAGCCTAGCATATGATCTTGCGTCACTCAAAAGTTTATGTAATTTATTGCAATATTTCTGTCTCTGAATGTCTTTGAGCCTTCAGCACCAAGACCATGATTATGGACATACCATTTTCCTCTTGTAGAAGATTCCTCACTGAGACTTGTGTGCAATAATGTTCAGCTACAGGCAAAGCTTTCCTAGTATGTTGAGCTTGATTCATTGAAGTATAACTCACTAACAGTTTACAAATGGCATCACATAAGACCTTTAGTACCTATGGTAGCTAAAAGCTTGTAGGGATGAAAGAAACTATTATCCACTACTACATATAATCAATAGAAATGTTCCTTTTGTTCTTTAACTGTAGTTTATTTATCAGAAAATTTTTCATAAAAATATGACAAGTAACATCGGCAAAATAACTTTAAATAAAAATAGATTATAGGTTCAATCTTTCATTTGATTGTTCAAATAAATAAGTAAATAAGTAAATAAATAAATGAATAGATAAATAAATAGATAAATAAATAAATAAATAAATAAATAAATAGATAAATAAATAAATAAATAAACAAATAAATAAACATGGAAGTTATTTCTCCAAACCCATAATTGACCAATCGATTAAACCTTTTTCTTGTGACGTTTTATATCTTGGAATATCAGATTTTGATAAAACAGTTAATTCAACTTGATTCGATGCTAATGTCATTGCTCGAATCATAACTTTAACATCATCATGAGTTAATTTTTCGACATTTTTTTTTCCCACAAATATAATAACATCATTTTCACGTAGGCCAGCTCGATATGAAGGTGATGCTTCTTCAACTTCACCAATAACATGAAGATCTTGTTGGTATTTTAATACTAATCCATAACCATCATATTTTTTACTTTTACGTAAATGACATAATTTAGCTTTTAATGATTCTTCTTTAGTTGATTCATCAGATTTAATTATATTAAATATTTCATAACGATGTGATTTTGTTGAGATAGTTGATTTTGATCCAGATGATACCATTGTTTCAAGTCCTGAATGTCCTTTTAATTCAAAACGACTTAATTGACGACTAATTGTATCTGAATTAATATCGCCATTTGCCGTTATTGGAAGTTCTAAAGAAAATAAATAAACTAATTGATATTTTTATTTATTTAAAAATACCTGGTAGTTTTTCTTCAATATCAATCACTGGCTGTTGAAGTATGAATAAATATTTTGGATCATTGGCTACTGTTAATATAATTGGGGTCATTAGTTGCATTAATTTTCGTACATCTTCATGTTCAAGATTAGTAATATTAATTCCATTTACTTGTAAAACACGATCCCCATCTTTAAGACCAGCTATATCTGCTGGAGAGCCTGGTTGAATATTACTTAGAAAATGTACTTGTGATGTTATATCAGCTTGTGGAATAAATGAATGAAAATCAAGGCCAATAGCTTCTGAAATAGTTATCAAGCGAGTTTCACCTTGTTCTACTGATAATTTTGAATTTGAAGGTGGAGAAACAGAATTTGATGTATCTAAATGAGAAAAAAAAATTAAATAAGAAAAAAAAAGAAGGTTTAATAACTATACTAACCATCATCATCCTCATCATCCTCATTATCTGTTTGTTTAGAGGATGGATTAGGAGAAATCGGAAGACTAGTCATTTTATGCAAGAACGAAAATGCTTCGATAATTGTATAGGCGCACACACAATGACGCAGTTAGTTGATCACATGTGTGTGACAAAATAGGAGAGAATCATCTATTTTCTTAGTTGTCAAAATGCTTTTGCACTAGAAGTACAAATCTATATTGCATAATATACAAATAATAGTAAATATAATCATAATAGGGTGCGAAGGTAATCATCAACATATTCCCGTTTACTAAAAAAAAGAACATGAAAATTGTAATACTTAAATATTAAAATCGGAAAACCGTTCATGCGCATCAACATGATGAAACTAATAATATCACATAAATTCATTCACAATGATAATTATGTCAAATGTTTTTAATTTTTGAATAAAGAATCGTTGGATGAGAAATCCTATCTCATCTACATATACCATTTGAATAGTATTCTCATAAATGCATATATTTGATGACAAAAAAAAGAAACGTGATTGCACGGGTTCTTATTGTTGTTTTTTTTATTTGTTTTCATTATTGATAGTGCGGATCAATAGTTAACTCATGATAATCAATTCTATTGCTAAATAGTTTATTGATAAATATAGTTGTAGAGTGATATTTCATCGTACTAATGTTGTTTAATAGGTAATAATTGACAGAAACATAAGAGTCATATTTTACTTATTCGCCAATGCTCCACTAAAATCATTTTCATTTTCAATCACTTTTAATATAATACAAATACCTAATACAGGTTATTTTAAACATAATGAATGTTTTAACTATCCTTTTTTCTATATTATTTTAATACTTTAATATTGTATACTCAATGGTTTTAAAATATAATAATTAATTACTTTTTTTGGTTTATTTTATGAAAATAATGTTTTTGAAATAAATTTTAAAGTAATTCTTGACATGAATACTATCAAGAGTAAGATATTAATAAGTTATGATAACATAAATAAAGTCTTTCAAAAAACCAACTAGGAAATCTCTACTATGATAACCATTATCAAGTTCGAGAAAGTATATTCAGATTCTTTGTAAAATAAATTAGCAATTTGCTAGACATTCTATTTCACTGATATATGAAGAGAACTGTTACTACAGCCCTTGTAGGATAAAATAGCAAAACTTAATAGAAATGTTTTCCTTGTATATTAGAAGGTTTCAGCTCATTTCTTCGGATGTATAAGTTACCATGTGTTCATGATGATACAGTTTATCTAGTCATCAACCATGTAGACAGAACTGACATAATATGAAAATCACATTATATTTTCATGATGACTACATAATTGAAAAAATTAGAGTGATATATTCATTAGTCACATGACTTTCATGATATCTCGTCAACGTTGTTTCCATTTGTTGCAAATGAGTAGATAATTTAAGAGAATCATTGGTTATTGTTCATTAGTTATATGAACACAATAGTAGATCAGAAACTTGGTGTGTTTACGGAAGAAAATTGAGATCAACTGTGATAGGAATAATTATTAATTATATTCAAACGAATTTAATTTTATTGGTAGTCTTGGTTGATATCTATAATTGATGAAAAATATTTTAACGAAACCGTAGAAAGAAAATAAGATAAGTATATCTTGCTCTTAGAATAATGTTTATTGTAATAATGAATTGTAATCTTAGTTTCTTTAGATTTCTACGAAATTCAACTACAACTAAGGTTATTAAAGAAAATCAGATTTGCTTTGACAATTCCGTCCAAAAAGATTTCTGAAAAAAATTTTATTTTTCTTTCTCAGTAATGTCGAATCTTTCATTGATTAACTTTTTTTCCGTCATAGGATTTGCTTTAAAAATACACATGTATTTAGAATGATTATCTAAATTATTTACTGAATAATATCATAAGACTAAAATAAAAAGAAAAACAAAATATGTCTCAATGTTTTCTTTTTAAGAACAGACCAAGCAAAGACAAGAAAATCAGTGAAGTACCACGTAACTAATTTATAAATAATAAAGATTGCTAAAAGTTTATCATATTTGTAGTAATTATTTTTAACCTTTTATTGATACAATCAAGATAAAAGAAAACAACAACAACAAGAACGACATGAAAATGATATCAGTAAATGAATGTCATGTTTGCCAATGCATAAAAAACAAAGCCATATAGAATGTGGTCTATTACCAAAGATAAATACAAGAGAATAAACGAATATAGATTCTTGGTTTTTTTTTTCTTTTTGTTCATAATAAGTGGATAATAGTAATAAGAAGACTTTATATTGAAGGAAATAAGAAGGAATTAAACGAATATATCACATTTTGTGATGGTAATAATAATAATCATAAATGCTACTGACTAATTATTTTTACTATTCAATATTTTAATTAATTTGAGACATTGCTCATCTTTCGATTGTTCGACTATATCTGATAAAAGATCAGGATGCATGTCGAATATTCTTTAAATAAAATTCATAAATATGTTTTCTCAATAAATTCAAAACGAAAAACATACCGACAAATATCTTCAAGGGCATATTGTTTTTGTAGTTTTTTTATGCGATCATGAATTAATGAAGAACTATTAAATTCGTTAAACCATTGAACGACCACTCTATCTTTTGTCCATTGAAGAGTCTATAATATGAAATTATAAATAAAGTACAAGCAAAAAGTTAAGAAATTCAGTAGTTTTGACTTTTTTCTTACAGATAATAGCTACAAAAAATATCAGAGAAAAGATTCAAGCAGCTGAAAACAATTTCCCATAAAAAGAAGTACTTGTCAAATTACCATTAACAAGTTTGGATGAAAGATCCTTGAAAAACTAAGACTCTTAAAATCAGTTTTCTGAATTTTATCAAAAATGCTCTATAAAAGGAGTCTATGACAGTTAGTCGCAGTGTAGAATTGATCGCAATACTAAAAAATAAAATTGGCAAAACATTTCCTAGGCCTATAGAGATATTACTCAGATAGATTCAGAATATAACTAAATAATAATTTATTTAAGGACAAGAAAGAGTAGATATGAGTAGAAATACGGATTATATAATTTTTAATAGAGCTTCTATTTGCAATAGTTTTTGTAGCATTTCGATAAATTGAAAATGTGAATATCAATATTTAATAACCGTGTATCAGCGAGATCATCTATGAATCCATTACATAAAATAAAATCTTCATTTTTTTATGTTCCTGAAAATTGAAGTTTGTGAAAAGTGAATTAGAAATCACACTTCTATCAAATATGCAACCGATTTCGGTTAATAGTCGCTTAACCAAGTGTTGCTTTCTTTCACAAATAAGCGCTCATTCTACGAAAGGCTTCAAAGTGTAAAACAGTAAATTTATACACAATGTCAAAAACAACAGATAAATAGCCTTTTAGATCTATCACATAATGATTGTTGTTCACTGAAGATACGTCGTGGAGAAGGAGAACTAGTTTTGGCAGTCTTAGTTTTACAGAGACTTTTCATGCAAACCTATTTATAAGAATTCAATGAGTACTTTCTAAAAAATGCTTTGTTTCTAAACTTTTTGTTTGTATCTTATTTCAGTTTAACTATCTTACATTATCTTGTTTATCTTCACTAAACCATTGTTGAAGATACTTTAATGCATCATGATAATCTAATGAAGGATTAGCCGTTAGAATTGTTTTAATTGCATTATCTTCTTCTAAACGACGTTTTAAACGCCAATAAAAAAATTCTCGACTTGTTTGCCAATCAAGTATTTCCTTTAAACAAAAGTAAAAACAAATACAAAATTTCATTTCAAGTAACAACAAAAGAAAATAATTTTTTTCAATTTACTTACTCGAATAACACCCTTTTCTAACATTCGACCTGGTGTATCATGTAAATCACAAAACATAACAGCAGCTTGTTGATACATAGGTAATAAATATTTTTCTTTTTCAGCTAATTGTCTCTCTAAATCTTCTTTCATTGCATTTGTTGTTGTTGTACATAAACTTATATTTGTTTTTAATTCTCGACAAATATTATCAAGTCGATGTATTGTACGTAAAAGATCTTTAGTACGATATTTTATTTCAACAGTACCTTCAGGTTCAAGTACACCACCACGACTCATACGATCAGCATACATTTCCATATAACGTAAATTAATTGTTGGATCAACAACAACCCAAGCTCCACCACGCAATTCACCATGTGGTGGAATATAAATAAATACAGGTTGATCATATGTACGTAAAGCATCAACAATATAAGCGCCAAATTTAATTATTTGATCATACATATCTTTCATTCCACCACTAAAACCACGCCAATTAGCAAATATCATTAATGGTAAATTTTCACGTTTAAAATCATTAATTGCTTGTGCTGTTTTAAATGCTGAATCAGGAAACCACACTTGACCAGCTTGTTGAATAGTACGTGCATCGGAATCAAAATTAGCTGGATCAGCTGGTTGTTCTAATTCAACTGTACGAGTTTCAACAGCAATAACACCCATGGCTTGAAGAAAAGATTAAATTAGAACAATTTTTTAATATATTAATTACAGTGCATGATAAAAGCCTCGCAACACTAGAATACTAACCTATACACATATTACAACTTCTAATTAGTGTGTTTACTAGTACTACATCGTGAATAATTTCTGAGAAAGTGTAGTGTCTGGTCACATCTTTTATAATCAACACTATTGAAAGTATGAGGTCTCATTACTCATAAAAAAAAGATGGTAAAACTCATTGAAGAATTTAATTTTTTTTCCTATCAAATGTAGGATAATGGGTAATGTTAACTAGACAAACTTGCAGCATGTGAAAAGTCCTACAAAATTATCAATAAATTTTTTTTACATACACTCTCGGCTGATATTAAAGGCCACAGTGATCAGTAACTGATCATACTTTGGATGCATAGTCGTCAATCAGTAAATTTGATTTCTGAAATTTGAATAGATTACCTAATCCGACAGAATCCTTAATAACAATAATATCGTTTTGTCTTCTTTTCTTGCACTAAAGTATTTTTTTAATTTTTATATTGCATAGTCATGACTTCATCGTATTAAACAGGTGTACATATATAGTCTTCTTCATTTAAAATAAATTGGTGCGAAGCGAGACTTTCAACATGCACTCTACTTACGAATTCCACCAAGACGAGCTCGACCACAAACAACAGTCTTTGCCCAACCTTTCATTATTTCTATAAATGAATCTCGATCAAAAAAACCCGATAGAAATGTTGTTGTATGCGATACATCTATATCATTGTTATGATTTATTTGATGTGCAGAAGTAAATAATCCTCCTTGAATCATATGTCTTGGATCATATGGTGTTGATGAAGGTATAAAATCAATTAGACGATCAATTGGATCATGCAATTCTGATAAGATCGGTGGTGAATGAAGCATTGTTTCAGGCATATAAGAAAGCCATCGAAGTATAAGTAAACATCCATCAAAATCATCTTTAACAACATCATGTGTAACACCATTATTATACATAATTTGTATACCACCTAATTGATTATTACTATTATAAACTTCTCTACCAAGAACTTTATTAAGTGCAGCAGCACCGGTTAATATTATATGAGAATTTTCAACTTGTATTACACGAGAACCTAATCGAACAAGATAAGCACCAATACCAACTGCTCGACATGTAACTAGACTAATTGTTGGCTAAATAAAAATTCAATTTGAATAAACTAACTTAAGAATATATACTTATATATATATATACACTTACAACGAGATTATATGCAAATGAAGTTTCACCAGCAATCATACCTGAACCACGTAAATTTTCTACACCTATACTATTTTCTTTTCCAATAATATCAGTTATTTTATATCTTATTTCACCATCATCATGATGAATACTTTCTGTTCGTACACAATTCAGATGTGATACACGTGAATAATCATCTGATGTTAAATATAAATATTGTATACCTTTATCAATATCTTTTGGATCATTCCATGCAATACGATAAAGAAATTTAAGTTCTTCAGCAAGACCAATACGTGCACCACTATTTGCTGCTATATAAATACGTGGTACACGTTCTAAACGGGATAATTCTGATGCACGTTGAAATAATAAATCTTCTTCAATACCAAATGAACCAATTTTATGTGTTATATCATTAGCAATAACAATTATTGTACGACCAGATGGACATTCAGGTGTTTTCATGTGAATATGCCATGCAACAATACCACAATCATTTTCTGCTGGTGAACGTGTACGTGTTACTAGACCACATTGTTTAAGATATTCATTTGATTTATTAATATTATTTGGAGATGTTTTTAATGAACTAGATGTTGGCGATGATGAAATCTTAATTGGTGATAATAAAGATGTTGAATCATTAAGATTTACTAATAAAAATAAAAATATGTATTAAACTAAATAAAAATTCTTTTTCTTTTTTGTACCTTGATTTGATGTATCAAGTATAAGTTCTTGATAAATAAAAACTTCTTTTGGTATTGCATTTTCTTTAAGTTTATTTCTATCTAAATATTGTCTCCATATTAATAGTAATGCTTGTCGAAACATTTCAGGAAAATCATAAACATATGTTGTATTATTTGATTGAGCAGTAAAACGTTTATATTGTAAATGATCTTTAGTTACATATGGATCATGTAATGCACGACCATCTAATGGACCTGTTTTACCAAGAGTGTATGATTGAAATATTGTTTGGCCTGTTGCTTGATTGGTTACCTCACGATAAAGAGATATATCAAGATAATAACCACTTTCATATGTTAAAAATACTCGAAATGGTATTCGTTCAGAATCAGGTGTTATACGTATTGTCATTTTTAATTCAGCTTGAAGAATTCGAAGTTTCCATAGACGAATGCCTTCCAAAATTGAAAAGAAAAAAAAGAAAATGTATTGAATTAAATTCTGAAGAAATTTTTGAGGAAAAAAGCCTGGGAAAAATATGAGTCAGTGTATTTCGATTCAATCGTCTTTTAATAGTTTGTCTATATGAATATGAGAGTATGTGCAAGGTAGATATGGGCAAGGTGGTCCTAAGACTGAAATCAACGCTTTGTATTATGAGTGATATCTTTTATGGTTGTGTAAGACTTGTGTCAAACGTTATATTCTCACGATTTATATGTCTTTTCTTCGTAAAGAATAGAGTTGTCGAACGAATAACACTGCAAAATAGACGAAATATTAGTAAATTATAAAAAGTAATGAATCTCCATGAAGAAAGATATTAGAAGTAATGCGGATCGTGCAAGATGTTTCGAACTAATTGACATTGCCAGAAAATGGCACCGAATTTTTTTCTAGTATCATCTTACTCAGTCTTTAATCTAGTCTCGAATACATGATAAAAAGTCTGATGTTGCTATTTCAACATGAAATTTTCGCCATAAGAAAGTTTTATCATGCTTATCATGCATCGAAAATTTTAGTTAGAACAAATATTTTATTTCTGAGATATCAGATTCTCAACTAATGCACATATTTTAGAAAAGATTTGACAAAACCCAATTTTCTTGTGAATCTATATCTCAAAAAAGAAAAATTTCGGTGTACGATAATAATTATAAAAACCTCTTTATGGCTGAAATTTAACATTCAAATGGCAATATTAGACTTTTTACTATATAATCTACACTATAAAAAAGGCTGAGTAAAATGATTATAAATCAAAAAGAGGGCAACAAGAAAACAAATCAAACTAGAGTTTGCTTACTCTGAGTAGACTTTATCTGATAACAAAAGCGTCATTCCAAAAGGTTTTGTATGCTTTCGATAATTGCTCTCGTGAGATGTGCAAGTATACACAGTTTATTAGTAATTTGAATGTAATTTATTTCATAAGAGGAAAGATCAGACAAAAAAAGAAATCATTTCATCTAACATTCAAAAAATTAGTCATAAATCAATCTAGGCATTCAAAATCGCTTTAATAATATTCAAAACGAAAAGAAAGTCTATTTAATATTATGATGCATTTGAGCATTCAATCAAATGAAGCAGATAGACAAGGTTTTTATACAATTTTGAAGATATAAATTTCTTAGAACATGATTCACGAACTAAACAATCATTTTAAACTATTTCAAGACAATTGTTATTATTGAATTTTCTCATAGTTTTAGAACACAATCTAAAAGTATTGAAAGATAAAGGAAGAAAAGTGAGTCAGCTCCTCCTTACCATCCTACAGTCCATGACAGACAGAAATAATGGATGAAACTCCCTATAATGTCATAGAACTTGACAAATAGTTCAATAGTTTAGTATCTATCTAATCATCGAAGATAATACAATCAGAGATGTCCATCGCGGCGCTGCCGCTGCCGCTGCCGCGACGGCGGTGGCGGCGCGGCAGCGGCAGCGGCAGGTTTTTTTAAAAAATCACCGCGGCAGCGGCGCGGTAGCGGTAGATTTTTTAAAAAGTCATCACGGCAGCGGCGCGGTAGCGGTAGGTTTTTTAAAAAACCATCGCGGCAGCGGCAGGGTTTTTTTGGAGAACATTGAAAACCTGTATGAATTTAATAGAATTTCAGGATTTACAAATCAAACGCCCTGATATTGAATAAATCTGATGGACTAGTACCCATATCTCTGGTCAAATATAGTCACAGCAGTGAAATTAGAAACACTTTTTTGAAAACCGTCGCGGCAGCGGCGCGGTGGCGGCACGTTTATTTTATAATTCATCGCGGCAGCGGCGCGGCAGCGTTTCTTTTATAAGTCATCGCGGTGCGGCAGCGTCGCGGCAACATTTTTTTATAAACTGTCGCGGCGCGGCAGCGGTGCGGCAGCTTTTTTTTTCTAAGGCCGCGGCGCGGCAGCGGCAGATTTTCAGCCGCGATGGACATCTCTGAATACAATCAACATGTATAGGATGCTCCTTGACAAGTACAACAAATTAATAGTGTTTCACATTATAGAATTAAACATACCATAACGAAGTACCATAGTACGAACACTTTCTTCAAGTTTAGCTGGTTCAATACAAACAGTTGGTACAAAACACATAAAAACATGATTACAATCAGTTTTATTTGCTAATGGATGTGAAAATGCTATTTCTAATTCATCCATTGCTTCAAGTAATGTTCTTTCAGCTTCATTTTTTAAATATTCATAACTTGCTTCTTTAGTTATAAAATCAGAATGACGAATAATTGAACGTGCAAAAAATCTATGATCAACAGCATCATGTTGTTTATTATGAACTTTTGCTTTGCCTAGATAAATATGTGTTTTATGATTTGATGTCGGTACAAATTCTAAATCAAATGAACGTAAACGATAAACTTCAAGTTGATAAGCAAGTGCCGGTTCTAAATTTCGATAAATTTTGTCTTCTTGAAACTACAACAAAAAACAAAGACGTTAATTTAAAGCAAAAAAAAACGGTAAAAATATCTTTTTACATTTATTCGTTTTCGATATGTATAATACACAGGAAATTGACGCTAAAAAAATTAAAATGAATATATTATTCTCATTATTTAAATCATAATTTTACTTTAGCTCCAAGAGAAAATGTTATTCGACGAATATTTTTTGCTTTACAAACTTCACGCTAAAAATAAAAATATTTGAATGTGCTTGTTGTTTTCGTTTTCTAATAAATACAAACTTTAGATTGTATAAAATCAAGAAAAACATCTTCAAATTTTAAATTTTGTTGAACATTACCATCATCTTTAATAAATACATATATTAAATTAACTGCTTCATCAATCTAATTATATTAAATAAAATATATTATTAATATCAATCGAATTTTCTTTTTTTTTTTTTACTCTATTATTATGTATTCGTATTGAAGGACTATCACATGAATATTGTCGACCATATGCACGTATAGGTCTACTTTCAGTAATGGATGATAAATCATCAGAATCTGTTGGAGAAAATGGTGATAATAATTCGTCAAATGAACTAAAATTATAAAAAATTATATAGAAATCGTTCTGTCTTTTTTTTTCAACAAATTAACCTTTTTGCACGCTCCCAACTATCAAAAGCAGCTAATATACCCATACGTTGGAATAAATCTGAATCAGTATTATTCAAATGTGTTAAATCATCACTAAAACTAGCAACTCGTCCCATATTTCCATGTTCAAATAATCTAAATAAATTGAATTCAAATACACTATACAGAATTTTCGCATTCATACCGGTTAGGATGATTAAGTGGAAGATGTAATGCAAATTGAACAGCACAAGTACCATCCGACAAAAATCGATGTTGAATACTATTTAAATCATATGATATATAAGAACGACGAACATAAACCTATAAAAATTATATTCATTAGAAAATAAAGTTTAATTAAATATCTTTCAAAAAACTACGTACTTCAAGTGCTGCTTGACGTACTTGAACATTGGAATGAAAATAGAAACTATGTAAAACATCAAGTATACTTGTTTCCGATGAAATTAATTTCTACAGAAAACAATAATGACAATTTCAAAACAAAAACTTAATATTATTTACTTGAATATTCTCTTGACATAATTTATGTCCATACATATCGATAGCACTTAAAAAAATTGATTCCATTTGATTATGTCTTAATTCATATGGTGGTTGTTGAAATTCAATTAATACTTGTCTTGCTTTTAATGCAACTTTTGCATTATTTGTATGTGTTAATAATGTTAATTCACTTAATAATGCTGTTAATTCATCTGTTAATGTTGGATCACGTTCAAATAATAAGTCAATTAACATGATAACGAGTGTATTTTTTGAATTATAATTTGCATGTGAAAAAATAATTTCAACAACTTTAGACATGTCAATTTTATGTTTATCACGTAATAATGTTAAACATTTATCATATTGTCCATATTGAAATAATGTTTCAATATTTAAATAATTTCTTATTAAATCTGTTATAACTGCTTTCATATGTCCTTTTATACCATTACGATAACATTGTACTAATTGTAAAAGACTTTGTATTGTTGTAAAAAATGAATCTCGATCATTTCGTTGTTCTAATTTTGTTGCATAATTATCAATAACTGATGCAATAGATTGTGATGGAAATTGTACTAACACCGATGTTAAATTACTATGATAATTTTTCATTATTTTTTTAATTTCTTTTTCAACCTCTTTTGGTATACGTTCAGATATATTTGATAAAATATCTTCAACTTCAAGTAATGGTAATGATGGATCACGTAAAATAGAAAATAATGTTTCAACATTTGATTTAAGTCTTTCACGCAAATATAGTTCAGGATATGAATAACCAGCAAGAATATTTTCTAATGAACCTTTGATTGTTTGAAATATTTGATTTAATTTTGTACTTGTTAAATGATTTGAAATTTCAAAATTAAATTTACCATTATATAATTCTGGTTGTTGAACTTGTTGAGAATCATCAAGAATAATACGAGCAAGAATACATGATGCATTAAGTATAGCACCAGGACGTTTATTCCATTGAAGACTATAAGAAGAATATTATTAAAATCGCTTTTAGAATTATCTCGAATAGAATTCAAAAATATAAATGCATTCCAATTGTTAAGGATAAGCCTATTCATATCAATCATTAACACAGTCAAAATCTTTGTCATTTCTATCTGTCTGTCACAATGTATAAAGGAGACAAGAACAACTTTTAGAGAGTTGCAGAGTTTTCCCTACCCTAACTTGCAGTTTAGGGTAAAGGTATAGGAAAGATAAGCACATTGTAGGATAGAATAGGGTAACGGTTAGCAAAATTTTCCTCAGTCAAAGTACAGGTTATGAAAAAAGTTTACCCTGAATCACTCTAGCAACTTCCTCGTTATATATTTCAACACTCATTGCCATTGGTATTTACCCAAGTTCCTTAGCAAGAGAAATCTGAAATCCAAAAATCTATAATAACATATCATTTGTCTGTCACAGTCTGAGTAGAAGGAGAGAGCTTCAACTTTCTCGCTATACACTTCAACACTAAGGATCTGAAGAACCTAGTTCTTTTAGTCTCGACTCTGATAGTTCTTTAAAACTATAGAATGTTTTACTATAAAATTTAGCTCCGATCTCGATCTCGCACATCTCTATGCAACATCCATTGTTAATTATGTGTCACCAACACAAAACAAAATAAGCTTCTTTCATTTTTTCTTCTAATTGAAATTAAATAATGTCAATCTATTTTAATTCTCTTGATTTATTTATTTATTACTTACTGTCCTTTTAATGGACATCGAAGTTCAGTAACCATTTTCATCACTTCAAGTTCTGCGTAAACTTGACCTGCTTCTATTGCACCACCATCTTCTATAGTAAAATGAAGAAGTTTTCCCGCTGAAGGTGATCTAATATATATATATAAATACATAATCAATTGAAAATATTTCCTAATAAAAATCTATTTTAAACCTCAAGATTGATGGATCATTCTCTTTTTGAAATACACAAGTTTTATTATTAACAATAATTCTATAACTATCAACTTCTTCTTTCATAAAAGTTAAATAACTTGCACCATCTAAGTTAAGCAATATTCCACCATCCTTCATTCGATTAGCTTCTAATTCTACATATGAATCATTCATAAGAACAAAAAAACAACTTGGACCACATTGTGTGACCTAAGAAAATAAATTCATTCTATATCCAAAAAATGACTTCATTTTTTTTCTTACTTGTAATTTATATTTAATATGTTCGTAAATAAGTTCAACTTGGTGTGAGATCGATAGAGTATTCATTGGTAATATCTGACCACTAAAACAATCCAATTCTTTGATTTGAAATCAAAATTATTTATGAAATTTTACCGTTCTAGTGAAGATCGAAAATTTTGAAAATTATTTCGAAATATTTCATCTGCTACATGTATAGCACCACAAACAATTGATAACATAATATTGGGTTTTTCTGTTTGAAAATGTTGAGCAATTAAACCATCAAGCCAACTTGTTTGTACTGTATTATTTACGTAATCATCAGTTTCAAGTAAACATATTAAGATTTCCACTTAAAAAGAAAAATTTTTCTTAAATTTATGAATAAATTTAATAAAATTATTATTTTTTTACCAGTCGAATGAAAATCTCCACGAATTGATAATTCTTTTAATGCAACAGCAAGATTTCTAAAAATAAATATAATCAAAATAAAAATATCATAGCAAATAAATAATCAATTTTAACAAACTCTCGAGCATCTTCTCGAGTTTCACCATGTGAAAAAACATGTCCAAATTGTGAATCAGCAAATTCATGTAAACCACCAGATGATGATATACTAAAATAACCCCAAACATTTTGTCGACTACGAAATGTTAATTCTTCAACAGTTCCTGAACTTGGTTTAAAACCCTAAATTATTTTTTAAATAAATTTTCTTTTATTGTTTCACTACTTACTTCATTAGGATTTTCACTTGTTATACGCGCTGCAATTGCATGACCACGTGGTTGAGGTTTATTACGTGGATTATCAAAATCTATTGGTGTTGTATCAAATGGATCTTCATCATACAATAAACGAATATCTTTTATTCGATGTAAACTTATACCCATAGCAATCTGATAAATGAAAATACATATAAGTTTTACATGATGCATATACTCTCTATTGAAAAGCGTTGAACAGTTAGACGATTTTATTTGTGAGTGACTACGTTACTCGACACGTATCCATTAAGTACTGTGTGAAAAATTCAGTATCACCAGCCATGAAATGATCCAGGACAAGTTACTAACGATCATTTGTCTTGGATCACCCGTCCGATAGCATGTTGACTATGCTACAACATATATCTGCTCTTATAAATAGTTAGTGTGTATTGGGAGTTCAAACGATTGAGAGCAAGAATTTAGAGTCAGACTGGCCTTCTGTTCGTGGCTACGACTAGTATTTGTCCTAGAGGAGATATCAGACTATTGAATCTGTTGCTAGGTAGCACTTCATATCAAAAGTTAATTGCTGAAAGATAGATATGTACTAAAAATGAAACAAAAATAGATTAAAACCATCAATCACTATAGATTTTCTCTTCTATCCATCAATAATCTTCTTTTCGATGAATGTTCGAAAAAGCTTTATTGAATTAAGTTATCAATTGATCAGAAATCAATATTCGATATTTTACCTATTCGTTTATTTTTGATTTTACTTAAACTTTTAAGTCAAAACTGAATTTCATTTATCAGCTACTATTAATGATGCCAATCTTTCATTTCCATCAATAACGTTCTAACCAAGATTACCGAATTATATTTCGATACACTGATATTCATAATCCAGTTACTGTAGTAGACACTCACAATTAGAGATTACAAGTAAATAAAATATGGTAAATTGATTGAATCCTTAAACATCACTTCGACTGATTAAAGATTTCGGAATAATAAATCATACCTGTAATTGACATGCAGGTAAATTAACATCTGTAATCATTTCAGTACAAGGATGTTCAACTTGTAATCGTGGATTAAGTTCAAGAAAGAAAAATGTTTGATCACTTGGATTATATAGATATTCAATTGTACCAGCACTAAATCAAATTTATTTATCTTTTATTACTTAAATTGAAATCAAATTCCAACTAACCTAACATAACCAACCATTTTTGCTAAACGTACTGCTGCTTTTTCCATTTGTTCGAGAATTTCTGGTGGTGCTATTATAGCTGGCGCTTCTTCAATGATTTTTTGATGTCGTCGTTGAATTGAACAATCTCGACCAAATAATGATATAGCTTGTCCACTTTGATCAGCAAGAATTTGTACTTCCAAATGCCTGCAACTATGTGCATATTTCATTAAAAATATTGGTGAACCTGGAACTTCCGTTTGAACCTAGGTTTTTTTTAAAGAAAACAAAACTCGATTAAAAGAAAACACGACTGTTATCGACATCAAAATTCAAAGTACTCGGATGCTTTTCTGAATAATTGTTGATAGGAACAAGATGGAGATCTGAGATTTTCAACATTTCATAGTCAAGATCTGAAGACAGATTGTCATTTTTCATAGAAAAAATCTTGTCTGAGAAAAATAAATTTGAAGACTGTTTTCTTTTTCAAAAGATCTGTGAAAAATCACACTGAATTTTTGAAAATTACCATAGAAGTCTAGTGATTATTTTAGTTGGATAGATAGCATAGAGTGTGTCCTACTGGAATTGATTTATACAAATGTTTTATCTGGCAAAGTTTAGAAGTATCAGGCAGTCATCCTGAAGCTCTAGGACTTTTCTTGGTGTGGTTGTATGCCTCCACACCCGTACTGTAAGGTACTTCTAAAACTTGGAAGATAAAACATTTGTAGAGATCCGGTTGTATAGGAAAAATTCTGTGCTATTCATTCAGATGAAAAAATTAATAGGTTTCTATGATAGTTTTCAGAAGTCTAGTGTGATTTTCGAAATATTAATTGAAAAACCAGGCTGTATTTTTTTTTTTGAATTCCTATGGTAAGTTATACAAAGAACATTCCCAGTGTTTTGAAATCTGATGTCGATAACAATCAAAATTTACTTGTCGAAAAAAAGTCTCAAATTCATCACGATTTGTTGCTTTTCGTATTCCTTTTCCTCCGCCACCTTCAGATGCTTTAATCATAACTGGAAAACCAATGCGACTTGCAATCTAATAATAAAAACAATTCATATTTTCTCAATAATAATAATTAAATTATCTTACTTCTACACCTTCTTTTGCATCTGTAACACAAGCTTTTTCATATATATCCATTGGGACATGAATATGTTCATGATCTTTTTCATTCCAATCAAGTTTAAGATCTAAGGATTCAAAAATAAATATGAAAGAAAAAAAGAAAATAGAAAATTCATCACTAACGAGAACCACTCCATGGTAATGTTCGTACATTAGCACTTTGTGCAATAATTGTTGAAGCTATTTTATCTCCTAATGCCCACATAGCTTGTTCTGATGGACCTATTTTTACAATAAATATATAAAAAATTCATTTGAAAAAAAAAAAACCAACAATCTTCTAATTATTTACCTATAAATATTATTCCATGACGATGAAGTAATTCAGGTAATCTTGGATTCTCTGATGCATGACCCCATCCAGCCCAAACAGCTATAAAAAATATTAAAAAACAATTTTTTTTTCATCTTGAATAAAACACGAGCTAAACAAACCTTCAACAAGAAATCGTTTAGCAATATCAAGAATAAGTTCACAATTTGAATAATTCATATGTGATGGACCACCTTGCACATTCACGTAATGATCAGCATATCGAATATATTCTATAACAACAAGAAACCTTGCCTCCGTTAATACAATTATTTAGAATTAAATCTAACCAGCATTTGCTTTCATATCTTCTGGTGTTACCATGGCAACAAATTTTATTGTATGTTCATGCCGATACATTTCATAAGACCAACGTCGAATTGAACGCATACATTTAACAGCTGCAATTCCATTATTTGCAATAAGAATCTTAAGAAAAAAAAGAAAAATATTTTAATAGATTCGAAAAAGAATAAAAACAAACGAACTTACTTTACTAATGACACGTGATCCACCTAAGAGATCACAGAGTTCTTTAGGTGTTGTCACATTCAGTGATCGTAAACCATTTGTTCCCACGGTGAGACCAGACATTTTTCTAAATAATAATTATTCAGCTTATTTTCTATACCTATAGAATTACCTGATACTACGTTTTGTCATTAGCCTATTTTCATTATTCAATAATGTTTTTGGCAGTGTTGTGCCATTTGTTGTGGAATTCATTGATGATGATGATGAATTATTATTTGAATACGGTGAATATTCATGAAACTCATCTAATAATTCATGATTATCATCTATATGCCGAGAATCATCAAGATGAAATTGAACTTTTGATATTTGTTGATTTCCGTTTTGTAAAATTTTTGAAGGTGATTTTTGTTCTTCACTAACAGAAGTCATTAAGAAAAAAAAGAAGTAAACTTATTTCATAAGCAAATCAAAATATCTAGAAGCAAACAATACAAAAATAAAAATAAAAAAACGAAAATGTTAAACATGTATATATATATTTATATTTATATCTAGGTTCAAATGAAATACAGAGCAAGAAATCAAATGTTTATTTATATCTCTCTTCATTTTTTTGCGTTCTCTTTCTATCGTATTTAGAATTGTAATGACAAATGGACGAGAAAGAATAACACGCCATGCACGCCTCCTCATTGGTTTAAAATACGTCAAAAAATTTACAGAATACGAAATAAATATTTCCTACCTGTTGATATGAGGTTTTTTTAACCTAATCAATAACAAAACAAACTCTTGCTTACACACTATGTCTTTCAACAAATCTTTCATTTCCAAAAAATAACGTAAAGCACCATAATCTAAAGGAAAAACGATTACTAAATAAAAATAACTAATTCTTTATATGAAAACTTAGTAAAGCTAAATAAACATATTTTATTCTCAAATCCTATCGGATTGATATATATATATATATATTTTTGTTTACACTATAAACAAACAAACAGACAAATATTGCTTTATATTTAGACAGAAAAAAAAAGACGAACAAACAAAAAAATTTGTTAAACACGATTTTCATCATAATCAAATTGTTCCTGTTTAAAAGAATTTATATTTGATTGACTAGTAGTATCATCATCTTCATCATTATCATCATCATTATTATTATCATGATCAGTTTCATTTAATGATGATTGTATAATAGCCCAATCTTCAATAATATCAATATCTGATAGTTGATAGAATATAGCTAAATTATCTTTATCCATTGTTTTAATTGAACCATTAAAATAATTCATTTTTCGTTGTTTTTTATTTTCTTTTAATGATTCTGGTGAATCAAAACGTTTTTTATTTGGTGATATTAATTGTTGTTGATTGTGTGGAAACATTTCTTGTAAAATATTTGAACATACTTGTGTTTTACTTTTTAATAATTCAAGTTCATCAATTTTTCTTTGAATATCTTCATGCATATGATGATATAAAAGAAATTTATCATTTTCTAATGTTTGCTGTAAACTTAATAATTCAGCTTGATAAGAATTTTCTAATGATTCTAATTCAATATGACGTCTTTGTTTAGCTATTTCTAAACGTAATTGCATATCATCATAGAGTTTTTTCAATTCATCTTGATATTCGGGTGCTTCTTCATTTTGTATTGAAAGTAATTTATTATCAATTAATGAAACACTTTCATCATATAGAATATTTTTTAATTGTTCAAATTGTTTTTCAACATTCATTATTTCATACATTATTTCATAACGACGTGAATCAAAATACTCTATGGTTAATGGTGATGAGTCATTTGTACCAAATGTTTGAAGTATATGTTGAATATCATCAATTGAATCAAGACAATCGTCATCTCCATCATCATCATCATCGATATCATCAAGATCAGTTAAATTTGGATATTGAAGATTTGTTTGAGGTGATGAAGAAGTTCCTTGTTGAGGCGAAAGATTTGTTTGATCATCGATAGGATTCATTAGTGCTCCAGGAAGTGGTTCTTTTTTTAATAATAATAAATGGATGATGAGTTTATTTTTTCTCATTTGAGTACAATAGGAGACCAATCAATGAGAAGCATGAACAGCGACATCTGTTACAAAATAAGTTTTCTAATTTGGTTTGAAAAAATATTTTTAAAAGATTAATTTTTTTTATTCTACTCCAGATGATATTGATCTTATATATATATATGGAGTGAGAAAACCATTAGTAAGAGTGGTGGTGTACATGGGTAAGTTGAAGACGTACCTATGCTTCCAACTACAGGCACTGGAATACATAGAAATATATACTTAGGATGAGAACAGAAAAAAAACAGAACAAAAAAACAGAAATGTTCCGGTGCCGGGGATCGAACCCGGGCCTAGACGGTGAGAGCGTCCAATCCTAACCACTAGACCACACCGGATCGACATTTATACTTGAATATGTAATGATAAGCTTTATCAAAAAAGTACTTGTTATCAAAAAATTGTAAAAGACAATGACCATGAATATCTTGTCGATCATTCGCAATTGTATGTTTTTCACATTGTTTATCAAATGTATTTATAGTACATTAAAAAAATGTTTCTGATTTGTTTAAGAATTATATATATTTAGTCATGAACGTATTTATGATAGCGGGATCTTTTGATTTACCAACGATTATACGGATCTACTTTTCGAATAGATTTATTTTTAGATATATTCTTCAAACAGATATACTTTCTGTTTGCGCAATGATTGAGAGAAAATTTAATAGTAAACTTTTCTCTTTAAAATGTGCGCTCTTTCTAATCGTATACAGGTAGAATGAATACCTTCAGTAGTATGATTCTGTTCTGTCTATGAATAAAATATTGTTCTACAAGTTGATGAGTATCTATACTCTAGCAAGATGAGAATTGTTCACTGTTGAACACAAAATGTTCATGCTCTTTTTAATTGCTTCTATTTCAGTTGATATATCTGTTTGATTGACACGGGTTAAAGTTAAATTTTTATATATAAAGAATGTTAGAATAACCCGAAAGGGATCCTCTTCAGATATTCTCTTCGGATTTCAAGGATTTTTTTTACCTATCGATACTACATAGTCTTCTAATATAAACTTTGAAACAATTTGAACTCCTATTAAGTTTTTGACTAAGTTATCAATTTTTAATACATCTATCTTCTAAAGGCTTCTGGAGGACTTCTAGTTTCAGGAAAAATCGTATTTTTGGGTTTTCATCCGAGACGTTGCGCATATATAAAAACTCAAATAGACTATTTTTCTATATAAAATAAGCAGAAGTTTTGAATATACCTTTCTTTGAGATTAGAAAATTTCACTATATGAACACTTTTCTATTGATAGTGTACACAACATATATATTTGGAATGATATATATCTCTCAAAATTTTATCCCTTATTTATAGATCAATAGAAACTGAAATTCTTTTAGAATTTTTATTGAAACATTTTGCAGTAGCTGTAAGCAAAAACCCATTTCAATCATAAGAAGACAGATGAATACATTCTCTCACTAGTTGAAAAGAGTATGGTGTTAACAGGAAAAAGAAAATTGAACAGGTGATTGAAAAACAAAATTTTGTCATTGAAAATCACCCCACCTACAGCAATATCAAAATTTTTGGCTGTATAGAATAGTTTTAGTTATATTTAGGTAAACGAGGTCAAGCAAGAACATGTTCTATATAATCAAAAATAAAAGTTGCTTGAATTAAAATTTCAGCACCTGATTGTCAATCATTCAAAACAGTTCATGATATCAGTTTTAAAAGTCTTGCACAAAAAGTTTTTCATCGTAACCAATATATACGTATAGGAAGCTGCGGATCCATGTTTTTGTGGACCAGATCCTGATCTGATAAGATCCACAGTTCCGTAATTACATTAATGAAAATAAGTCATGATATTACACAGTTCGCATCACTTCATCTTTTCTTGAATATAAAATTGCAATGAACATTTTAATAATCGCTTATATACCACCTAGTTTACTGTGTCTTATGGAGAAATGTCTCCAAGTAATAAATTGCTTTTAAATTAAGACTATATTCAATTCGTAGAGTCTAGTCAGTAGATAATTACCCTAGAATTGTTCGAGAAGTTCAACCTTTGTTGTTAAAATACCGAATTTTTAATAGATATTTCCTGAAAGGTCCCAAGTTTCAAGCGAAATCATACGTTTGAATTTTGAACTGAAATATTGCCCACATAATGGCTCCTATTAGACTGGCTTGTAGAAAAAAATTTCATAATTCTTTGAAAAAGTCTTGCTGTAGTATGAATCTTACAAAATATCCATGTTGAGTTCAACAGCCGTGACAAAGCGTCTATATTTTGAAAAATTCATACTTTGGAGAGACTTAATTGAAAAATTCTGAAGTTTTTCTACAAGATAATCTAATAGAAACTATTATGAAGGCAGAGTTTTAAGTCGAAATTCAAAAGTACAATGTTGCTTGGAAACTGAAACCTTACAGGAAAAATCGACTAAAAATTCGATATCTTAGGAACTAAAGTTCAACAGTACAAAACACTCAAGGATATTAACTTATTGACTAGACTCTATCGATGAAGATAAACTCTACTTAAAAGCGTTTTATCACTTAGATACCTTTCTACATTAGAAATATGCGTTCGAAGTTGAGATATGTTGTTACAATTGTTGGAAATACTCTTATTCGATTAAGAAAATAAAAAAGAACTATTAAACCCGAACGTTTTCCTTTTATTAATATGATATGAGGCACCACAAACTAAAAAATAGTTTTTTAAACTGATTTACATTTATATAGCATGATATTCCACTTTACGACAATATAATAACAAAGCAAATAAGAAAGCGAGTATTTCAAGAACACCTACAACGACAGCACCAATGATAATATATTTTTTATATGTAGCTAATAAATCAATTAAACGATCATAACATCCTTGGGAATAGGCATTTTCACTTGTTATTGCACATGTATTAGCTTCAATCATATTTGTTGGTAACCTATCCCAATTTTTCGTTGCATTTAAAGGACAACAAGTTAAAGGAACAGTTAAATTTGTATTTGAATCATATGGATTTGTTCGATTCCACTGAGTAGCATTTGAATAATCATTTTTATTAACTGCACCACAACATTGTAAATTAAATTGAAGAAAATCCCATGACATTGATACTGAATTAACGATTGCCGAATCATTAATTGGCGTACCAACATAATATTTTACAATTGATTCTTGAAGTTTATTAACAAACTGGGATTTAAAACGATTTTGATAAGCTACAAAGAAAATAATAATTCCTATTTCAGCAAGGATTATTCCACCGATAATTATTGCATAAATAACATGTAAAAATCGAAAACCTTTAAATGCTCCACAACAGCCTAGAAAAATCAAAATAGTTAATCAATTAAAATTTATTTATTTATGTTTTTTTTTTTACCAAGAAATCCAATTATTAATATTATACCACCAATAACAATAATTACAATAGCAAATATTTGAATACTTGATAAATTTTGAGAATTTTTTGCTATTACATCAGTATTAAGTAATGGACGAAGTTGTTGCATTTTAGGATCTTTAAGGATATAAATACCAATTACAAGTAACGTTACACCAGCAACAATAAATGCCATATTGAAAAGAACAATAAGTAGTCGAATAAACTTCATGCTTAATGACATACTACCATGGCCTAGACCTGATGCCATTTTTCACTTTATGTTGTAATGATATTTGTGTAAATCAATCTAGAAAAAGAAAAGATTTAAGATGATCTGATAAATATTTAGTTATGTGCATATATATATTCTTCAGTCAATTTATATATATTTGTTCAGGCCAACGAAGATAATACTAGAAGAAGAAGAAAAAAACACGACAAAATTTTCTTTTTTTTTCTTTTTCTCTTTTTCCATTTGAAAACTTTTGCATTGTTGACATCTATTGTATCAGAAGTTCGCTGAAGCATAATGAGCAATATGTTGACAAGATATAGCATTCGTTTTGAATTAATCATTATTTTTTTTTGACTGGATTCTTATATAGTATCTAATGTCAGCCAACAATAGTAAATGTGGGTTGAATTATTCTTTTCGAGAGTAACATATGGAGAAAGTGATATGGTACATTAAATTTTGTCTTCAAAAGATAATTAATAGTCAATATGAATTTCATGAATAAAAATAGAATAAAAAACAGTATTCTTTAAAGTAAGATTGTTGAGATTATGCCAGTTGTTACCATTGTTTATAGTGAAAATAAAGGATAGAAATCAATTGATATAAGGAACATAGAATAAAAATGGACCGAAAATTTTTGAGAGACAATATTTGTGTAGTTTTGTTTTAAAATGTTGTGAAAGAGTCAAAAACTATGGATTAGGACCAGTATATTACACACTTTCTGAAAATATACTTAGAAATTTTTGTTTCAGTTTTTGTTCGAGACTAATGAGGTAATTCTTGAAAGATTCAAAAACTGAATTTGACCGAGAAATACATTTTTTAGGGTCGTCTTTGTTCTACAAACTGATAACTTCATAAAGATGTCAACATTTACTTTCGAGTTAAAATAAGGAAAGTACAAAAGTGTACGGAAAAATTTTCTGTCTAGACTATGTTTTTGGACCTTTCAAAAGATAATCTTCTTGATATGAAGAAAATTTCTAGGCCTAAATTCAGACAGAGCACAAAATTCTCATCAGTTTACCTTCAATGAAATCATTCGCTGTAACTAAGTAACAAAATTAATTTCAAACATTTCTTGATAACAGCTTAGACATATATATATATTGACAGATACCTTTACAATAATAGATCATTTCAGAAGGATAGACAATTTCGACGTTTCCAACTAATGTAGAATTATGTTTTTATTAGATGAAATTATCTAAACTGATTCGATGTTTGATGTCTGTAAAAGATACGATTGCCACCAAGTCGGAAAATAATATCACCAGTGGATCAAACTCGTCGAGCTGATTCTATGAACACTCATATGATTTTACCAATGAATAGGTCGACTTGACTTGGGCACATATCTAAAGTATTTAGACTTTTTTATGCTAGCCTTAGAAAAATGGAAGAGATGTATGTTCTTAATTTTAAACCTTATACTTGAATTTAGCATATAGCCTTTGTGAATATGGCCAATCGATCTCTATTATGACTAACCGTACTTGACGGTATAGAGTATCATTTACACCAACACTAACATCGTATTCTCTTTTTCTTTGGCTGCTGACATGCTTCTTTTCGTTCCATCTTTCGAATTTCGGTCTGTTGTACTGATACCTGTGCTCCATTTCTCTTGTCCCTATCTTTTTTTTGAGCTTTGAATCTCACACAGTTGTCTCTGAGATCATGTTGTTCTTTGGTAGAAACAGAAGATGCAATGCTGATGCTAGTATATCTGACACTTTGTATTGTCTAATACGATCATTGATGATAGGGATCGATTGGATATGTTCACACGTGCTATTTTCAAAATTCAATTATATGAGGATTAAAATTAAGAAAATACATCCCTTCTATTTTTCTAAAACTTGCGGACAAACGTCTAATATTTTGGATATCTTTCGAAGTTGGGTTGGTCTACTCACTGGCAAAATACATTTATGTGCGTAGAATTAGCTCAATGAGCTCGATCACTTGATGGTATTCGTTCTTGTTTTGAGGGTGTTGATGCCTTTCACATACACTCTCCAATGTTCATCAAGTATCAAATAACATTTAACATTTCCAAATAGATAATACTAATAACTATTCTTAATATTAAATCATCAATTATTGATTGGCTTGTTAAAATTTCCATGTTTGAATTTTGCATAGAAATATCAATGTGTATTTTGGTAAACTATATGTTTTATCTATAAAGCTTCATTATTAATGGATTTCGATTATCTTTTACATAGGCGTATCTGTTTTATTAAGTTTTAGATTATACTTACATTTTTAACAATTAAAACAATTCGATCAATATTGTCCAAAATACATTAAAAAAACATTTGTCTTCTTTGAAGAAAGAAAAATATTAGGATGATCGCTATACTTTCAAAAGAATGTCACAAATATATGTAGGATTTAATCGAAATATAGATTAAAAATGAATCATTTTCATATTTGACATAAAATTACATTTTCTAATCGTATTTTTGCATCAAATACAAGTGATCACTGCCATGCATTGTAATTTCGGCTTCACGTTATTAATCATATGTATGCTTATTTCCGTCGTCAAAATGCAGAAATGGACAGGTACTTTTGTTTGGAATGATCAATGTAAACCAAATTATTGTTGTTGTTATGCTGATAAATTAACTGTGACTGCATCTGGTTCCAATCTTCTTTTTACATCGGGCACCAAAGGATGTCCAACATCCACATCTTCATCTACATTTTCAAATCCAAATGGTTATTCATTTTCAACGATAGGAGCTAGAGGTGCACAAATCACTTATACACTTAGCTCGGATAGTAATACAATAACGGCTAAAAATAATGGATATAGCTTTTGTGAAGGTAGTGCTCGTCGTACATCAACGGGAACAGGTGTATATCCATCGATTATTTTATTTATAATCCTTTTTGCTACCATACAGTGCGTGCTTTGAATTAATTAATAATAAACAGCTTACTATTATTAAATCTTAAGTTATTTATTTATCCTTGTAAAGAATTGTACAGGAAAATGTTCTAAATTTGATGAATCCATTAAATGAAATAAACTTAAGTTCCTATTAAAGTTCGAAGCATTTCATATAAACTGTAATTTACATAAAGTTTTTGATAGATGGTCATAAGAAGGAATTATAGACATTAAGGATATGAAATAAAATGATCATTAATGTGTGACTAATAGATAAAAGAACAGTATCATACAATATGTATCACATGTCATGAAAATCATGGCGATTTTTAAAAAAAGTTGCCGTAAAATTGTGATTATTGCACAAGAAGCAATTTTTCAAGAATTGGTGATGAATCGAATTTAATTACTGATTTCAACAACTGATCACAACCCATCTATTAGTTAGAGAAACATTTTCAAGTCTATAAAATTGAGACTCCAATATCATTTCTATACATTTTTAAATATAATAATTGGCATATGGAAATAAAGGAAAAATTTAGTTTCAATATGGATGCTACTACCATGACATTAACGAGATTAGACAATTTATAGAAAACAATCGAAGCGAACTTCACAAACATATTCATTCGCATCAAATGATCTTTTTGGATTAACATAGATTTTTATTTTTATTAGATCTTTTATCCATTTAGTAACTTATAATTTGAGCAGTTAATTTTTGTAATAAAAATATTCACCATTATAAATTAGTAAGAAAAACTTATCAGTAGAAATCAATGTTACATGAACAAAATCACTTCTACTATCGCTATCATGAGAGACAATCATCAATCATAAAACTATGATTTATCACAAAAAGCAGCGATTTATCGCGTTGTGGCTCATGATTAATCGCCAATTTTTTTTTGATTTCGAGAACATGTGAATGTACCAATATATTTATCTTTGACATCTATAATCGTTTAACTCAATTGTGTTATTCGTATTTGTTTCATCTTTGATGAGAACTATTTAGAGATTGTTTATTTCGAAGGTTTAATTTGAAGTAAAAACTCATCAAAACAAAAAAAAACCAACAATTGGATATAGCGACATCTGATACTATAGTAGAAGGTTTCGGCTTATTCGTGCCCTACAATAATCAAATTGCTGGTTGATTTTTTTTTTAATATTTAAATATCGTGTGCTATTTTTTATGACTCTTCAGGTCATCTAGTATGAATATGATAAAAGAATAAAAAAAACTATAAGATCGTAATGGTAAACGAACGTGTACGAATTGGAAATTTACAAATTGCTAAAATTCTTTTTGATTTCGTTAATCAAGAAGTTCTCCCAGATACGCATATCAATCTAAATACATTCTGGTCTGGTGTTGAATCAATAATTACTGAATTATCACCAGAAAATCGTAGACTTTTACAAAAACGAGATTATTTTCAAGCTAAAATTGATGAATGGCATCGTATTCATCCAGGAAAATATACAGATATTGCTGCTTATAAAGCATTTTTATTTGAAATTGGTTATTTATTACCACGAAACGACGATGAAAATTTTCAAATTAATACAACAAATGTTGATGATGAAATTGCTATTAAAGCTTCACCACAACTTGTTGTTCCATTAATGAATGCTCGATTTGCACTCAATGCAACAAATGCTCGATGGGGTTCACTATATGATGCTTTATATAGTACTGATATTATGTCAGAAAGTGATGGTTGTGAAAGAACTAATGAGTACAATGCAAAACGAGCTTTAAAAGTAATTGCTTTTGCAAAACAATTTCTTGATCAATCTATTCCATTGGCTAATAATGTCTCACATATTAATGCTATAAAATACAGTATTGAAGATGGTGAACTTAAAGTAAGGAATCAACAACTTACGAGAGAATCTCTTCAGATGCCAAATCACTTTTTTTGATTGAGATGACGTTCATTTGATAAGTACTAGTCAGTAATAGAAAAGTCTGGAATGGTTTGGTTTTCCGAGCCTTTGTGCTTGAAAGATCGATATTTTGTGGGGTTTTTCGTCTACCTTAGGTCATGTGAAAAATCGACTCCCGACTTCAAAACTTGTATGAACAAAGTTCTTAAGGAGATTAGTTGATTGTGGAACTATTATTTCCTTTCTAGAGATATAACTAACAGGTGCAACAAAAGTTTTTGACATTTTGTTGTTTTACATGTGACTCTATTCAGGAACATGATAAAGCGTTAGTTTTTGTTTTTCAAAAACTACAACATACAATGTTCTACGTGGGTCACATGATCGAGTTTTTATAGCTATTTTCGAAATTTAAATAGAGAGTTAACATTGAACAAGTGTATCATCGTGCTTTTTTCCACAAGGAAAAGTTGAAGAAAATGACCTATTCCAAGCACTATAAAAACTAACACATTCATCACTCTACCAATACCTTTGACGAGATTCGTACTAATTTCTGTTCAACCTGCTGTCATCATATTTAGTTGAAGTCAATTTCTCATTGTATTCGTTTGCTAAGCTTCACTCTTTTTTATTATTTCTTTCAATAGTCGAGGACGTTTAAATTACCGATTCATACTTAGACTCACGCCAAGAAAAAACTCACTAACATTTCGATATCTTAAGAACAAAGATTCAGAAAATCAAACGATTCTAGACTTTTCTGTTACTTACTAGTACTCATCAAATGAAAACCGTCTTGATTGAAAAACGATTTGACACGTGAAGAAGATCTCTCCATATATAAGATGAAAACTAACTAATTTGTTGTAAATAGATCACTTTACAAAATGGAATTATTGCTCAACTTCAATGTCCTGATCAATTTGTTGGATATCAAGGTGAAATAAATATGCCTAATACTATTCTTTTTGTACATCATGGTCTACATATTGAACTTCAAATTGATCGAAATAACAGTCGAAATGATATAGCAGGCATTAAAGATATTGTAATTGAATCAGCATTAACGACTATTATTGATTGTGAAGACTCAGTTGCAGCAGTTGATGTTTATGATAAAGTTCAATTATATCGAAATTGGCTCGGTTTAATGAAAGGTAATTTAGAAGTTCAATTTATGAAAGGACAAAAAACAATAATTCGAAAGTTAAATTCCGATCGAATTTATATTTCAAAAACTGGTCATGAATTACGTTTATTTGGTCGATCTCTTCTTTTTATTCGTCATGTTGGTCTTTTATTATATACTGATGCTATATTAAACAAAGATAATCAAGATATTCCTGAAGGAATTCTTGATGCTCTTATTACAACTTTAATTGCTTTACATGATCTTAATAAAAAAGGAAAAGAGATAATTAAAAATAGCCGTAAAGGTTCAATCTATATTGTTAAACCCAAACAACATGGTCCAGAAGAAATTGCCTTTACTTCATATCTATTTAATCGTGTTGAAGATCTTCTTAATTTGCCTCGATATACACTTAAAATAGGTATTATGGATGAAGAACGTCGTACAACAGTTAATCTTACTGCATGTATTAAAGAAGTTAAAGATCGACTTATATTTATCAATACAGGATTTCTTGATCGAACTGGTGATGAAATTCATACATCAATGGAAGCTGGTCCTTTCATGCCTAAAAGTCAAATGAAAGAAGCAAAATGGTTAAACGCTTATGAAAGAAATAATGTTGAAGTAGGATTAAAATGTGGTCTATCAGGAAAAGCACAAATTGGCAAAGGAATGTGGGCTATGCCGGATATGATGACATCAATGATTCAACAGAAAATTGCTCATCTCAAAGCAGGAGCAACTTGTGCATGGGTACCATCACCAACAGCTGCTACTCTTCATGCTTTACATTATCATCAAATTGATGTTTTTGCTCGTCAAAATGAATTAACTTCTTCATCTTCATTATTAAATGATTATTTAGATGATTTATTAACAATTCCTATTCTTACTACGACTTTAACATCTGAAGAAATTCAACGTGAATTAGATAGTAATTCACAAAGTATACTTGGTTATGTTGTTCGTTGGATTGATCAAGGTATAGGTTGCTCCAAAGTACCAGACATAAATGATATTGGCTTGATGGAAGATCGAGCAACATTACGCATTTCAAGTCAACTTATGGCTAATTGGTTACGACATGGAATTATTACAAAACAACAAGTGATACAAACGCTTCAACAAATAGCTCAAGTTGTAGATCGACAAAATATAGACAATTTAGAATATCGACCAATGGCACCTAATTTTGATCAGAACATTGCTTTTCAAGCTGCACTTGAACTTATACTTGATGGCGATAAACAGCCAAATGGATATACTGAGCTTATTTTACATCGTCGGCGACGAGAATTCAAAGCTCAACAGCAATAAAATAGTATATGCTCATGAATTTGATTCAAAAGTTTTATTATAATGTATTATAAAATTTCTTTGGCAATAAGTTTGTTTTAATTGTCTTTCTAATTCATTTTGTTAATATAAAAAACAATATTCTAAATTTTACTTGTATAGATTGTTATTATATGTTTTTTGTTTATATTTTTGAATCAAAAGAAAGTTTTTTGAAATGTTTTCTTTTTTAAACAAAGTGTTTATAATTGATAATCTAGCATCATTTGTTCGTGTTCTTGAAAAAAATGTTCATCACAATTATTACCTGAACCTTCACGATCTACAACAAGAAAATCATCATCTTCATTGCCAATGGCTAAGACAGGATGATGCCAAGTTCCACGACTATAATTTACTCCTTGTTTACCATTGGTTATAAAAGCACGTACTAGATCAAGTTGAGGTTTATCATTATTGATAGAATTATTGGTTGGTGGAGCAACAACGATAAGAAATGGTCGACCGAGTAATGGTATAAATGCTTGACTACCAAGTGGATGTCGTTCAAGCATACAAATAGTTAATGGCATTTTAGTCACCTGAGCTCGAAAGATACTAATGATAGCCCGATCACCATCAGTTGGATATGCTGTTTCTACTTGAGCAAGACAATGATAACGACGAGTTGAACCATTGTTAATTAGTCTAAA